GCAGGTGAAGCTTGATTAACGTGTGGCAGCGGAGCTTTCTCAGTTCCCTGCCCCCATTTTCTAGGGTTTTTGTTTGCCTGTTTCGATACAGGGAGCTGCTCTTAATGATGACTGCGTCCTTTGCCATAGACACACCTCTGAGCACATGGTTGTTTTGAGCTGCTCTTCTTCCAGTGGCTCGGTTAAGCAAGTCTGAGGAAAACACAGCAGCTCCCCCGGACCTGGGATGGCTGTGCTGCCGCTTTCTCATCCTGGCTCTCACCTGTGGTTTTCCCTTCCAGGGCACAGCTCTCTCTCAGGGCCCCAGTCTGTGCAGGCGTCTTCTCCTGCCACAGAGCTGCTCAGCCTGGAGGAGGCGCAGGCACGGAGGCGAGGCCGCAGCAGCTCTCCTGTCGCTGTGACAGAGAGCAGTGACATAGAGGTGGAAGAAGGCCCCACAGCTGTACGGGGGAAATTCCACACAGTCATCGACTTTCCACCTGAAAGGTAAAGAGGAATGTCATGGTTCTATGTTTTTGGTTTTTTTTGTTTTCTTTTTTATGGTTTTTTTTTTTTATGTTTTCAGTATTCCACATCATGGAATGTGGAAATATGGCCTCCCCATATTTGTACTTGTGCCATCATCAAACAAGCCAAGAGGGTGAAACCTCTCTGGGAGGAAGGGCGATGGCAAAAGTACAAATATGGGGAGGCAGCTTCATCCGAACACCGACTAATTCCTCTATCAATAGCTGGATCTCTGGCAATGGCACCTAGTTGGCGAGCTTCATTACCATCCAGAGACAAGCTATGGGCCCCACTGTCCCAACAGCGAACCAACCAGGAAACAAGACTTTCATTCGGGTGCCGTGTAAACTCCTTTCTTGAACCTTGGATTTCAGTCATCTTCAGAGGCCGGCGAGTAGTAATAGAGATCTCCTCTTCATCACTCTCTTCTGCATGTCTCTTAGTTTTCCCTTTTGCCTTTCGCGATGGTGGTGGTTCTGAGGAGGGCCCCTCGCCTGGATCTTCCTCCACCTCCTCCTCCTCCTCTTCTCTTTTTCTTTCAAGACGCGAAGATACTCGTTTCCATTTCTTGCCCTCCACAGGAGCAACTGGTATTGTTACTGGTGTCTCCTGTGATCGATTAGATTTGACTTGGGGATTTTCCCCTTTGGCTTGAACCTCAGCTCGGAAACTCTCTCTCTTCAGAATGGTATTATATAGGGCACGGTAAGCACAAGCCAAACCCCAAATAAGTTGTACCTCCTTAGATTTATGTAAGCCGCATAGTCCCTGACTCAAATACTGGCTTAGTTTCTCAGGATCCCACAGGTGTTCAAGAGTAAAATCCCATGACACTGCGGGTCCCCATGCTTCTAAAACCTCTCCTAAACCTCTCCATATTCCCTGCCAATCATCATTCTCTAGTTTTGGAAGAGACTCCTTTCCCTTAATACGAATGCATAGGAATACATTCAGGAAAATTGATGACACGAACAACAACAACAACATGACTATTAATTCAGGATTCAAAAAACGTTTGACAAACCGAGAAGAAAACCCGGAGACTGGTCTGAACATCGTGTTGTTTGTAAAATTAGCTAAACCTATTTGGGCTGCTGAACTGTGGAAAGACATTGCTGCCCGAACAAAGAATATGGTGGTAAAGGTGCGCCATGTAGATGCTCATGTGCCCAAGAGTCGGGCTACTGAAGAACAGCAAAATAACCATCAGGTAGACCGAGCTGCCAGAATTGAGGTGGCTCAAATAGACCTGGACTGGCAGAACAAGGGTGAATTATTTCTGGCTCGGTGGGCCCATGAGACCTCAGGTCATCAAGGGAGAGATGCAACATACAAATGGGCTAGAGACCGAGGGGTGGACTTAACTATGGATGCCATTGCACAGGTTATTCATAACTGTGAAACGTGTACCACAAGGAAACTTGATGCCAGGGGAGTGCAGTCAGTAATTCTATGTATATATATATATATCCATGTGTGAGTAATGCATTTTAATCATTTTTTGTTTGTTTGTATATATATGTGTATATATTTTAAGCATGATGTAACGATGTAGAATAAGGGGTGGAATGTCATGGTTCTATGTTTTTGGTTTTTTTTGTTTTCTTTTTTATGGTTTTTTTTTTTTATGGTTTCAGTATTCCACATCAAAACATCATGTAGTGTACGGGGCATTGAAGTGTCACTGCCCCAATCCCAGCTACCTATCCCTGTACATTACAGCAGTCACGGGATCTGGCCCTTCCGGGTGGGGGAGGCGCTCTCTTGCTGCCTGGCAGTGGGTGCTGGAGGGTGCTTTCCTAGCCGTTCCAACCTTTTCAGGTTTGACTCGGTCCCGGGAACTCTCTCTCTCTCATCTTGTCTGATTTATTAATCTCAATTTCAATTAAATTGTATATATTGTGTTATCTTGTATTCCAATACTATAGTAAAATAAGTTTTCCTCCATAGATTGTTGCCGCTGTTCTTTTCCTCCCTTCCTTCCTTCCCATTTTTTGTGGGATTGGGGTGGGGGGGAGGGCAGAGGCCTGTCGCCCCTGTCACGGACGCGGATTGATCTGATCAACTCCGTGACAAGGACTTTGTTTTCCAGCAGCTATCATCACTGTTTGGGTGGGTTGTGTTTGTTCTGTCTCCATTATTTCTAGTGCCTAAACTTGTGGAAATTAGATTTAATGAATGGTGCCTGAAGTGTTGCAGTGAATCTCCCCTCCCTTTGGACTGTGAGATTCAACTAACATTGAGTTGCCCGCCGGGCTCAGTTTAGCCTCACAACGGTGCCGTTCCTTCCTTGCAGGGCAGGCAGTGACGAGATGCACAAAGCCACGCTGACGTCTACCCTGGCCTGTGCTGGCTGTACCTGGAAACGTTGGGGTTTTCCAGATTTCAGAGCCTCGTGCCTGAATCCAGTTGTGGTTCTCCTCTACGCAGAGCTGTTGGTCAGACCTGCTGACACTAGAAACTAGACATGGCAGTGAAATGGGCTGATGAGCTGTCAGTGTCAGAGTCAGAGATGCTTTTGAAGTTCCTTTATGGCTGTGCAATTCCTCAGCCAGCAGTTATGCCTGCCTACTCAATCAAAGCCACCCTTTGATGCTGTCCTGTACAGGTGTGGAGCCTGTGGACCTCACATGCTCTGCATCTTGCTTGACACAGTTGAGGGGAATTTAGCCAGCAAGACTTCAGGGCTGAGCTATAGGAATGGAACCATCCTCAACTGCTTGAAATGGAGCGAGTTTCTAAGCTGCGTTTCAGCAGGAACCAGGCGGTGCTAGGAACAAGCAACTGTTGGCACGAGCTCAGTGCAGCTCTTCCCTCACCCTGCGCCACGCACGACTCCCACCATTCCCTGTTTTCTCTCTCCAGATCAAGTCCACCCAGCAAGATAAAGGAATCACCAGCTGGCTGTTGGTGTTCCTGCTTCAGCCTGGGGAAACCATCGTCTGGGGCCAAACGCCAGCCACAGCACCATCCCAGGGAGCCCTCGGAAATAGAAATCGTAGTGCTGGCAGGTAAGGGTGCAAATCCAGCTTTCAACGCCTTGCTTTTCAGCAACATAGAATTCTTGCTGTCAGTGGGCTTGTATCTACTTCCAGCGTTCCAACCCATACCTAACACCTTTAGTTCTCCCCTGATCAAGAACCCCTTTTGTAATTCAGCTTGTGAAAGTTTGGCACTAACCCCCTGTGTATCCTTCCTAGATGAACTGAGCCCTTGTCCACCCAGAAGAGCCGGAGAAAGTAGCGAAGCTGGGCTGTGTGCTTCCACCAATGGAGAGCTCTTGGGAAGCACAAATGGCTGCGGATCACGTGACAGCCTTGCACGTAACAACAGTGATGGAGAGAGGGAGCTCATCCAAGTTGAAGCCCTCATTTCTCCTGGCTGTGCTGAAGATGCTGACCTGTGCCCACCAGGCACCGCAGTCACCAGCCTGGACTGTGACCCGGCACCTTTGCAGTGCAGCCCAGCCCAAGTACAATCCGAGTGCCCGGACAGCAACACCTCTGTGCAGGAGCAGGTCAGCATCAGCGAGGAGGAGCAGCAGAGCCTCTTGGAGGGGGGTGTACAATCAGGCCTCCAGTCCCAGGCACCGTGCAGCATCTCTGAGAGCTCTGAGCCACTCTCTACGTGATCTTTCCATCCAAGAGAGGACGATTTCCATCTTTACCTGGACCTCTCACGCCCTCCTGTGTTTTCCTTTAATAATAAAAGCGCACTTATACTCACTCAACGCCTTGAGTGCCTGTGGAGTCTTCATTCACGAGGACTGGGATGAATGCGGCACACAGCAAGGCACCTCTGCTGGCAACGCTGAGGCTGCAGGGTGCACGAAGCAGAGCTCTGGGTTATTTCCCATTCTGTCTGGCTTTGGGATGTCTGCAGGTCCCAGTTGGTACAGTAGCAAATAATCTCTAGCATCCTGGATTCTGCTCGTGGTGACCCCAAGCTTCCTGGCGGTGGCTTTGTGATGCCTTTCAGGGCTTTTGGATGCACTGTGATGCCTTGGCTGCTCCCTAGCACCTCTCTCCTCCGGCAGCGTCCATTCCTTGAAGGAATCAGCAGCTGGCTGTTGGTGTTCCTGTTTCAGCCTGGGAAAACCATCTTCTGTGGCCAAACGCCAACTGCAGTGCAATGCCAGGAAGCCTGCAGAAATTCTTTGCAGAAATGCAAGTCGTAGTGCTGGCAGGTAAGAGTGCAAATCCTGCTTCCAAAGCTCTGCTTTCCAGCAACATAGAATGCATGCTGTCACTGGGCTTGATTGCCCTTCTAGCGTTCCAGCCCATACCTGACACCTTCAGTTCTCCCCTGATCAAGAACCACTTTTGTAATTCAGCCTGGGAGAGTTTGACACCAACCCCTGTTCATTCTTTTATAGGTGATTCGTGCTCTTTTCAACCGAGCAGAGCCAGAGCATGTAGTGATGCTGGGCTGTGTGCTTCCACCAATGGAGAGCTGTTGGGAGGCACAAATGGCTGCGGTTCAGCTGACAGCCTGCCGCATAACAACAGTGATGGAAAGAAGGAGCTGATCCAAGTTGAAGCCCTCATTTCTCCCGGCTGACACAAAACTGGGCAGAGTGGCTGACACAGCAAAAGGCTGTGCTGCCTTCCAGCGAGACCTGGAGAGTTGGGTGGGGAGAAACGGAATGAGAAAGAACAAGGGCAGGTGTGGAGTCTTGCATCTGGGCAAGAGCAACCTGAGTACCAGTATAGGTTGGGGGCTGAGCTGTTGGAGAGCAGCGTAGGAGAAAGGGATCAGGGGATCCTGGTGGGCGGTAGGAGGAGCATGAGCCAGCACTGTGCTCTCGTGGCCAAGAGGGCATCGTGGGGTGTATGAGAAAGAGTACGGACAGGAGGTGGAGAGGTGCTCTTTCCCCTCTACTCTGCCCTGATGAGTGGAGCATCTCCCTGTGAGGAAAGGCTGAGAAAGCTGGGTCTCTTTAGCTTGGAGGAGACTGAGGGGTGACCTCGTTGATGTTTATAAATGTGTGAATAGTGAGCGTGAGGAGGATGAAGGCAAGCTCTTCTCAGTGACATCCAGTGATAGGACAAGGGGCAATGTGTGCAAGCTGGAGCATAGGGGGTCCCACATAAATAAGAGGAACAACTTCTTCACGGCAAGGGTAACAGAACACTGGGATGGGCTGCCCAAAGAGGTTGTGGGATCTCCTGTGGAGACATTCAGCAGCTACCTGGACATGTTCCTGTGTGCCCTAATCTAGGTGATCCTGCCCCAGCAGGGGGATTGGACGAGGTGATCTTTGGAGGTCCCTTCCAATTCCTGACATTCTGTGATTCTGTGCAAAGTTGGTTCACGGTAGTACTTTTGCTGCTGGGAAATAGGAGCGCTGATCTTTGGGGTAAGTTCAGCAAGGTGGACTCCCCTAAGCTGATACTGACTTCATCCTATAGCGTTGACTTCTGTCGTGATTTATTCCATGCCAGAAGTTCCGGATGCTGTCAGGAGTTATTCAAGCCCATTGGTGTTAATTTGATCCTGGACTGGCTGCTGCTTGACATGCTGTCTGCACAGAGGTAACACATGCATTAATTTGTTTCCTGTCCTCTGCTGTTTTGTCTCTTGTTTTTAGTTAATGCTGAAAACCCACCTACGGCTGTGGTTGGGAAATTGGTTCACTTGCTCGATCGGACCCAGATTTTCAGGAGGAGCTGGAGCTAATGAAACTGTGTGAGGAAGCTGTGACCTTGATCCGATCTAATCAACAGCTTGAAAATGACCTCAATCTCATGGACCTGAAGATTGGACTGCTAGTGAAGAACAGAATGACACTGCAGGTAGGAAATGCAGTGCTGGGAGACGAGCAGAGTGAATTGAGGCCAATGGCAGTTAGCATGAGGACCTTCTGAGCCTGGATCTCACTCACTCAGATGCAGTGGGAAGTATTTCCCCCCGAGTTACAGGTTTTCCTCCCAGTAAGTTCCTAACTGTTCCACTTATTACTATGTATCCCTAGAAAGAGAACTGCAGCAGAAACATCAAGGCTTCAAGTGTTTTAAAAACAAAGCACCAGAAAAAAACCCACTCGGGACCAAGGGAAAGCAATAGATGGTATGCTTGAAGGCTCTGAGAACTGTTTGTCTCTTCACTTGTGGTTACGTGAGTCATGGACTTGCACACCTTAATTTCTTCTCACGTTTTGTGTGCTGTATCAGAAGGGGGAGGTGATTTTGGAGCAGGAAATGTGCTCAGACTGCTTGGTGTTGGTTGGCTGATGGAAGCCCCCTCTGTCACTTTGCTGACGATTGATTGCACACAAGAACAACGTTGCTGATACAGCGGTGCCTTTTTTTAACTCAAGCTGAAGTTACAGTCACCTTTTCCTTTGGTCCTGAATAGCGTGGCGCTAGGCTTGACCTTGTGTAAAATCTGAACCATGGCAGCAGTGAAGTTCAGTTCCAAAGGAGGCTCCAGCTCTTGGGCTGATGCTGGCAGCAAAAAGTATCATAGTTATCAGAGCAGTGGAGGCAGGGAGTCAGCAAAATGGAAACAGGGCTTGGGGCTTCAAGCACAGTTGAGAAAGAAAGGCATTTTCAAGCATCTTCAGAACGCTACCAGCTGTGACAGTAGCCCTGCTCAAAGCAATTAGTCCTTGTAGGTTCTCACCCAATTCTGGAATGTGGGGACAAGACAGAAATCGCTGCTACAACAGATAATGTTTCACTTCATGATCTCCTGATGTACCTTGACTGCCTTATCCACCCAAAAGGAAGTGCTATCGTGCAGCTTTTTCCCATATTGCGTGTTATTTAAATGTGGAATCTGTCCCTCTGTGTTCTTTGCAGGATGTTGTTTCTCATAGCAAAAATCTTAGCAAGGAGAACAAGGAACAGCTCTGTGACGTGATGACGCTGAACGAGCAAAAGGCAGGTTTGCAAGCTTTGAGCAAAGAGGAGAGGGAAAAGCTGGAAGCCTATCAGCATCTTTTCTACTTGAGGTATGCAGCTTTTCATTCACTGCTCTTGTCATAGATGCTTACGTGTATTGGAACAGTCTGTGCTTCTGCACTGCAGTGTTGAGGCGCTGTCTGTCTTTGTGGTGTTGGCTTTTGTGGACACGTGCTGTGTGGGAACTGCTGAGTCATGGCCTGAACCTCTGACTGATCACCTGAGGTGAGCAGTGAGTCAGGCAGAGGAGCACAGGTGAAGGCAATGCAGCTGTGCTGCTGGAAGGGGTGCAGCCAGGCTACAGCCCTCCTAGACCTGTTTAAGAGCTGGCTACCAGTGGGGAAGGATCTCGTCTGGAGATCTGCTCTGCTGGAGTTTTGTAAGTGAGCCCAGGATAGGGGTAAGCCTTCTATTTATTCTCCTTTTGTTAGCTTAGTCTGCTTTGTCAAACTCTTTTGTTTATTTCACAATGACAACATCTTAATAGTCATTGATTATACACTTGCACTAAGTACTTTTTCTTCTTGTTTTAGACTACTCCAACGTACTTGGCCAAGCTGCTTTTGCAGATGCCTCAAAACAAACCCACAGAGTTCATGGATTCAGCCATCTTCACGCTGCATAACTACGCATCCAGTCAGAGAGAGGAATCTCTGCTGTTGCGGCTGTTGCAAACAGCATTGCAGGAAGAGATCAAGTACGTTGTAGCATAGGACACAGCCTTGCTGTTGCCTGAGTTTGGGCCGCTGCTAAAATTGCAGCTGTTGTTGTGTGATGTCCCGTGCTCATTAGCTGATAATGCTGACCTGTCCCTGCCTTCTGCTCATGCTGTTTCACGTCAGTCCTTTCTGTAACCTGGAAGGAGGAGGAATTACCTTTGTTCTTTAGGATTAAAGCCATTTTTCTTTAGCCAGTGCTTTCTTGCTCAGGGAGGCACTGTTTTTGATCTACTGCAGTGCTTTCCTAAGATTCATTCCCATCTAAGTTCTCTGCTGTCTAGTAAGAAGGACTTGGCACAGACTGCGAGCTTGGGCTTTACAGGCCAGAGTGAAGCTGACGCGAAGGTCACTGTTTTCCAAAACTGATGAGGAGGCTGAAAATCAGATGCTGTCTGGTTTGGGTTTTTTCCTGGCTGTCAGGCTTAAGGATTCTGGCTGTCTGTCGGCATAATTGAGTTGATTGTCACTTAGGAGTTTGGTGTTTATGACTTCTGGCTGATACGGAGCTTCACAACTTGCTAGGAATAGCAAATACATGTAATGTTGGAGGCAGTCATGCCTTTTTTGATGTTTTTAAGTATGAGGATGGTATGTGCCCTCCAACAGGTAACGCCTAAAAGGTTTGTTTAATTATTATTATCTTTTCTTGGAGCAGTAGTTCAGGAAAGTGCATGTCTATGCTTTATTCTCTGCTGCTGGATTTCCCATAGCGGCATGCTGTGGATGGCTTTTGTTGCTGATTGCTTACTTGTTGAAATACTGAGAGGAAATAGTTGTGCCTGTGTAGAAGTCCCTTTGTTTCCTCTGTATTTTTGAGATGCGCTCTTTCAACCGTGGTGCCCGTGGTCAGAACGCACTGAGGCAGATCTTGGCCCCAGTTGTGAAGGAAATAATTGAGGACGAATCGCTCAACGTCAGAACGGATCCAGTGGATATTTACAAGTGCTGGGTGAACCAGATGGGATCTCAGAATGGTGAGGCCGGGTATGGAAGCTGTTGCTACTGTTTTTTTTCTGAAAGTTGCTCAGCTGCTTTGCATTGCTCTGTTAATCGTTCCGAACCATCCCTGGATTCCTTGCATGCATCTGTCCAATTGCTACCAGCTTTTTTCCATCAGCTCGAGATGGCTTTCTTCTGAAAGGTATAAAGATCACCGAATCACAGAATTGTAGGGGTTTTAAGGGACCTCCAGAGATCATCGAGTCCAACCCCCCTGCCAAAGCAGGTTCCCTACACCAGGTCGCACAGGTAGGCATCCAGGCAGGTCTTGAACATCTGCAGAGAAGGAGACTCCACCACCTCCCTGGGCAGCCTGTTCCAGTGCTCCGTCACCCTCACTGTAAAGAAGTTCTTGCGCATGTTTGTGCGGAACTTCCTATGCTGCAGTTTCCAGCCGTTTCCCCTTGTCCTGTCTCCACTCACCACTGAAAACAGTCTGGCCTCACCATTCTGCCCCCCACACCTTAGATATTTATAGACCTGGATCAGGTCCCCTCTCAGTCTTCTTTTCTCAAGGCTGAACAGACCCAGTTCACTCAGCCTTTCCTCATAGGAGAGATGCTCCAGGCCCTTCACCATCTTCGTGGCCCTCCGCTGGACTCTTTCCAAGAGATCCCTGTCTTACTTGTACTGGGGAGCCCAGAACTGGACACAGTAGATCATCTTGTGACAGGGGTGTTGAGACTATTAGAAGTGAATCTCATGAAGAGATAGGCCAAAAAAAGCCCCAAAGCATTTCTTCTGTGTTAACTCATAGGTACAGATACCGTAGCTCTTACTCTACCAAGCCAATCTCTGCCCACAACTCGGGCAGGCTGCCCAAGGAGGCTGTGGATGCCCCATCCCTGGAGGCATTCAAGGCCTGGCTGGATGTGGCTCTGGGCAGCCTGGGCTGCTGGTTGGTGAACCTGCACGCAGCGGGGGGTTGGAACGAGATGAGCATTGTGCTCCTTCTCAACACAGGCCGTGTTCATAGAATCACAGCATGCAGCTGTTCCTGTCTGCCCATGAGAATGTTTCATCCACGTGGTCATCCTGGTTGGTTGGCCTGTAGATCCCCCGCTACGTCATCTGTCCCTGTCCTCCCTTTAATCTGTGTCTATAAACTCTTGATGGGCTCCCATCCGTCCCCAGTCAGAGTTCTGTGTTTCTTCCAGTGCTTGATGTTGACCAGATTTTGAGGATTCTGTTGTTGGTTGTATTTGTTTTGTTTTTAAGGCACTTCAAGGGAAGTGGTGGAAAAGCAATGCTATGAAGTAAAAGACAACTGTCCCAGCGCAGCACGCTGCGTGAGTTACTATCTTAACACTGCAATGTGCAGCTTGTGTTTTCACTGATTTATTTGCGACCTGAGGTACTACTGCGTATCGCAGGTGACCTTCTTGACTCTAGAGAGCGTGTCTGCTTGTGGTACAGAAAGATACAGTTCAGAGTTAGCTGGGCCTGTTCTCACAGCGACTGCTGCAGGGACAGCAGAGGACGTGAGAAGTCCTTTGCTCTTTCAGTGCTAGCATTCTAATGAAAGTGAAAGCGTGCAGCTCTTTGCAGCCAGGTGAGCGTGGATCTGTTTGTGTGTCAAGCCAAAAATTCTGCCTGGCACTGACAAAAGTATATTAGGCTGAGGAGTGCTCACCTTCACATCTGACTTTTCCAAATAGCAAGTTGCCGTACGATGTTACACCTGAACAAGCTCTTAATCACGGTGAGGTGAGGATGCACCTGGATGCCTCAATCCGAGATGTGAAGGCAGTGACAGACAAGTTCCTGTCTGCCATCGTTGTTCAGCTGACCAAATCCCATAAGTCTGGTGTGTCACCGCGTTATCCTGCAGCAGTTAATAGTGGGTTCATCCGTGAGGAATTCTCACTTGCCTTTTATTTCCTTTGAAGTTACGGGATGCGTTTCATCGCCAAGGTACTGAAAGACTCCCGGCATGACAAGTTTCCTGATGCTGGCGAGGATGAGCTGCTGAAGGTAAGGAGCTGAGCAGCTCTGTGAATCATTGTCTGCCACGCTGACTGCAGCAGATGCATCTCAGTGTTGTTTGTTGGCTGTACGTGTGCAGAGAAGTTTCAAAGCTGCAGTTTAAGTAGACAGGCTATTTGTTGTTATGGGTATAAAGTACTTTGCCCTGTGCTTTGGATTGCTGGATACATGTTTGTCAAAGGAGACATAATACAGCGTTCAGAAGAAGTCACCCTATTGCTTTTCCTTTTGCTTTTAATATCTTGGGCATTGTGCCCCCTAGGTTTCTTGGCTTTGGGATGCTCTTGCTGCTGAATGGTGCACCTTGGTTTTGCTGGTGTTATCTGAGTCAGTTGCTCTTTTTTTAAAGAGACAGTGTGCCAAGTTGAAAAGGCCCGTGTGCAGAATTCTACTCTTCTCACTTCCCTTACAATATCCTAGGGCATTACAGTAGCTGCAACAAAGTATATGGTGTCATTTTTCATGAGGTGTGGGCAGTTTTGTGTTGTACATTTCCGTACTTTGGAGAACGAAAAGGATGTTAGTAGCAAATGCTTCCAAATGAGCACAGCATTGTGGCTTTCATTGGGATTGTCCTGGCGTTTGTTATTTTGAAGGTCTTTCTGTCTGTGAGTGCTCTTCTTCTTAATAAAACAAAGAGTGGCTTTGACATTACTTGCCACAGTCTCTTTAAGCTTTTCTGTCTCTGCTTCATTACGAAGTAATTCCCAATCTGAATGCCGTTTTCTTCTCTCTTCTGGTTCCGTGCTTTCCCGTTCTGAGGCATCGATTCTTTCTGTGCGGGTGAATTCATTTTTTCCATCTGTAGATGTAGGTGGAAAGCTGCAGTTTTTATTAATCCTTGTGGAAACAATGTCACGGCCCATGCCGCACTCTGAACTGCAGCTGTGTGCGGTGACTGCCTGTAGATGCATTAGGGCCTAAAACTACTCCTACAGTGTGCTGTTCTTGTCTTCCTACTACATGTTTTACTATTATCAATATGATTTCTCTCACAAATGTGTTTCTTATGACTGGTAGTGAACAGTTTTGTCTGTTGTGACCATGTGCCGTCACCTGGGATAGTAGAGCAAGAGCTGAAACCGCTGTCAAAGCCATGACCTCTCTGAAAGCAGTTAATTTCTGGGGCAGCTTAGCAATGGCGAAGCTTCTTCTTTCTGTTTTTGCCATTTCTTCACACCTCTGATCTCTTCTGTGCATTCAAATGGCACGTGAAGCAGGAGAAGCCCAGATTCTGTGACTTGGCTCTGCGCAGATTGATGTGAAACTCCAGGAAATACTGAAGCATGTGGCGTGGGAACTTTTGCTGCATGTCAGCGTGCTGGGCCAATGCCTTTTTGTTGTGGGAATTACTGCAGGCAAATGTCCAATACGGGTTAGAAGTAGATGGATGAGCACGTGGATAACGGGCTGTCTTTATCTTTGGGGCCTCGGCGTTCATTGCTGCTCACTTAGCTGGTGAATTGGACTTCTTTTGAAATGTCAAATACCGCTCACCTTCGGTACTTCTGAGTTTCTTACTTCTGGATTAAATGCACCGTTGTGCATTTATTTAGTGTATGTATCTATGTTGCAGTGTGAAACTAAGATTCTTTGGGACAGCATGTGCTTATTAATGGCAGCGCAGTAGACCCTGCATCTGGAACGGGGCCCACAGCTCACAGGAAAGTAATTGGTCAGAACTCACTCGGAGTAGTGTCAGTAAAACTCAGTGGAGGTCTGTGCCATTGGTTTTCCACGTGTTTTTTTCTCTCCTCAACTTGTCCTAGATTGTTGGCAACTTACTCTATCACCGCTACGTGAATCCGGCCATGGTGGCACCGGATGCATTTGACCTAATGGATCTTTCAGCTGGAGGGCAGCTGACTGCAGATCAACGAAGAAACCTTGGCTTGTTGCAAAGATGCTGCAGCATGCTGCGTCCAGCAAGATGCTCATGGGAGACGGTGCACACCTGAGCATCGTGAAGGAATACTTGTCACAGTCATCCCAGAAATTCAGGTAGAAGACTTGAGCTGATTGTGTTGAGGAGTTTGTCAGTGGACAGTGTTGCAAACAAAGAGGAGTGATGAATTTTAAATGTAATAAATTCCATCTCCGTCAAAAAGGAGGTCTGTTGAAAATGAGAGATTGCCCTTTGGGCTTCCACAATCATTGATCATAATGACATATAAAATACGTAGCTGGAATTGACAAACTAGATATAGTATATTAATGAGCTGGTCCAAACAATTGGCTTTGCCATACAAGCCTCCAGAGTAAAGGCTGTTTTTCTATGTGTTTATTATGATATTCTGGCCATTGAAAACTAGAGTGTGCGTGCGTTCTTTCCTATATGCACCCTAGTTCTCTGTATGCAAACTAGATGGCACTTTGGATTAAAGCAGGCTGGAATTTAGTTGTTTGTATAATCAAGTAACTTTTGAATGAAGAGCTTCTTTATATCTTTCATCTTTTGTAAGAAAGAAAACTGGAATGGCTGGGAGTGAGGATTATTCTTGCAGCTGAGACAGAAGGATGGGTGCACAAGGTCATTCGGTCCATGGACTTGTCCTGCAGATGCTTACAGTGAGCGAATGCCAACATGGCCAGTACCAATAACTGAATCTTCTAGATGGCTTTTGATGTGATAAGCTATAGCTTGTCCAATTGCAGTATGCTTGGGAACCATGGTTTGAAGAAGAACAGCTACTGGTATGCTGATTACCTTTTTCTCCTTTTTCTTTTCTTTTTTTTTTTTTTTTTAGACGCTTATTTCAGGTTGCTTGTGAGGTTCCTGAATTGCAGGATCAATTCAGTATTGATGAATATTCTGGCTTCCTTCCTTGTCTATCCCTTCTGCAGAGCTTATAGCCATCAATCTCAACGCTCCAGTCATGGGAGCAGTCCCACCATGTTTCAGTAACAGCAGCTAGATCGTAGTTAGCCTGGTGCACAATGGCTTCCAGTTCCTCCTGCTTGTTGCTCATGCTGCGTGCATTGGTATAGGTGCACTTGAGCCAAGTCATTTGCCTGACTCCCAGCTCTAAAATCGTTCCGCCAGGCTCTTCTCTTGTGAGGCCTGTACTGTCCCCTTCCCCCGTCATAATTAGTTGATTGCACAGGAAGAAAAGCTTGATGTCTGTGCCAAGGGAGACGTACACCGCACTTGCGCTGCCTGGACGATGTGGAAACTGGAAATTGTGGGGTGTGCTGAAGCATGCCCTCTCAGGTCAGTCTAAGCATACACAGAGTAGACCTGTCTAGCAAAACAGGGAATAGACAGTTAAACCCATTCTGTTGGGAAATACTCTCTCCTTCTAAGTACCTTTAGAACGTGAGTTTCTTCAATTAATTACTCAACTCATTTGCTTTTCCTGAATGATCCTAAGTTCTTTTCTCAGGCGACATCTGCACTCTGCTCAGTCCAAGGAGAATCCCTGCCCGCAGATGCAATGACACAGCATGGCTCACCACCTCATTTTTCATTGCTTACTGTTATGGTAGCTGCCATCCATGTCCACCCTGCGTATTCTTAGAGCTCTTCTGGAGTCCATGGGGCAGACTTATGGTTGAACTAAAGGGAATTTTTTTATAATGCTCTAGCTCCAGATGATTATCCCTAGTATCATTGTATTAAAAAAAAAAAAGGCGTTTGAAGTAGTGCGATATATCTTCTGTGCCTCAGAATGTGGCACGTGTGGCATGAGAGAGTTTTGAGGCCACGAGGACTGCCCAGACAGCATGAGAACTGTAAGAGCAGAGAGCTATAGGTGATGCAGCGCTATTGGTGCCACCCGCAGGAAGCGGTAGCTGGAACAAAATATGGCCAGAAGAGTGATCAGATTGCGTTTGGTAAGGAACTATTTCCTTAGTTGTAGAACTTTGACAAAATGTATATTCAGGATGATGATCAGCATGCCAGGTGCTGGGACCATGCCGAAAGAGAAATGGTCTGAAAACGTCGGTGCCATTTGCAATATATCCCCTTCCACAAAGCCCTCAGATCCATGCTGCAACTGCATCCAAAGCAACCCAGAGCCCTGTGCTTGTTGTACCCGGAGCTGTCGGTGCCAGGAGTTGCTGCTGTGTTTGCAAGGACGTTGTGTCAGCAGTGTGCCGTCAGTGGGGTTGTTTGATGGCAATGAAACCGCTGAATGGTGTACCTCAAGACTCAGAAAGAAGATGGTAGTGGTGACTGTGTGTCTGGGTATAGATAGCTTGATACAGATCGATAGGACTGCAGTGTGGATTGTACATAGGCCCTGCGCTGCGAGGTACGCTGTTGGGAAGCAATGTCCATCTGCCCGAGGGCAGGAAGGCCCTGCAGAGGGACGGCCTGAGGCCAGCCGTACGAGGCTGCACAGGAGCAAGCGCTGGGTCCTGCGCTGTGGTCATGACAACCGCATGGCAGCTTGTGCAGGATTGGGCTGAGGTAGAATTCCAACGGCCCGCTGATTCTAGAATGTTGGGTGCGGTGTTGGAATCTTCTGGTCCTGTGACATGGTCTTGCCTCCCCACCCTGTCGTCATGGCGGAGCAGCCTGGTGGCCCTTAGTGATGTCACAAGAGGCTGGAATGAGGGGAGGAGCAGTGCGTGCTGCGTCCCTTCATTGGAGCGCTTGAGCTCTGCGTGAGTAGCTCGCTTGTTGCCCTTGTGCAGCGACTGAGTGCCTTCGTTTTCAACCCTTGTGTCTTGTGCAGCATCTTGTAGGTAAGCTGAGACAGCGTGGGATGGACGGGTGGGCAGTGAGCTGTTGAAAACTGCTGGCTGGTGGAGCTCCTAGCAGCTCGTACTGCTTACTCTTGTCCATCAGACGTAACTTTCAGCCAGTACCTGCATTCCCAAGCGATCCACAAAGATGGCATTTGTCCCGTGGCTTTTCCCTTGTCATCTTTGCTCCATTGTGCAAGCTCACAGACCTGTTCCTTCTCTCTCCTCTACCCGCTCCCTTGGTGCAGCTTTCGCTCGTGGAAGCACAGAGCAAAGTGACAAGAAACAGCTGCGAGTTCAAGGAATTGTCTACCTTGTTCTGATCTCCTGCCAGGTACGTGCCACGCTTTGTCCCCCCACGTGGTTGACCAGCACTGTGTCGCACCATGTTTGGTAACACAGCCTCACCCAGCGTTGATGGGACACTGGTCCCGTGTGGGTTTTTTCCCTTCCCCTGCAGCTCCGCCCTCAGGAGGATGCTGTGTGTGGTGCTGTGACCAGCTGGTCTGAAGGAAAGCAATCCCTTAGGCAAAGAGTCCTAGGCCCAGTTTGTGCTGAGCTGCACAGCGTGACCCAAGGTCACAAGCACGCACGCTTGGCCTGTGAGAGTGTGCGCGGCAGCTGTAGGGAGCACAGCAGAGATGCGAGCAGAGGAAATCCTTGATGTGCGGGGCTGCAGCAGGTGCCGGTGGTGAGGCTGCTGGGAGCTGTGGCCGGGGAGCAGATGCACCTGCAGCAATGATTCCTCTCACTGCCCTGCTGCTGCGCTGTCAGAGCGCCCTGGGCGAATGCATCTGCTGGTTTGTGCCAGTCCCCATCTGCTAGCAGAGGGACAGCTGCTTGGTCAAATGCTGCCTAATGGGCTGTCCCATTTGAACGGAGTGAACAGAGTGGTTGCTTCTAGAGCACCCGCCTGTGCCAGAGGATAGCCAAGGGTAGTTCTGAAGAAGTCTCTCAATAGTGTGGTGTGTGAAGAGAGAAAATATGAGCGTGTTTCTTTTCATTCCAGCTTGTCGTGCCTGCTGTGATGGGCATCGCGTGCAGCGAGATCAGCTGTGAGCCTGGCATGACACGGATGGAGGTAGAGTGTGGAGCTCTGATTGGTCTTTGTTCCCTGATTTGAGCCAGCAGAGTGAGCTGCAGATGTGCTCTCCTGCTTTTCAAGAAAGCGAATCCTTGCGGCTCTATCGGTGTCACTGAAAAGCTGCCTTCAAGGCTTTCTTTCCTTGCTGCGGGCATGTTCTTAGCCTTGCCGTTCCTTCTTGTGTGCCCATGATAAGGACGGAGTGCACTTCCTGCAGCTTTCTCTGCTGACATGCTCCTCAGCCTGAAATCCTCCTCGTTTGCCCTCAGCTCCTCACCATGGCCTGTGCTCTCTGTTTCAGGCTGAGAACAATGGGAAGCCCCTGCTGGTCCGTGAGGAGTCATCTCTTAATATCCCAGCTATTGCTGCTGCCCACGTTATTAAGAGATACGTTGCCCAGGCACCGGGTGAACTCTCCTTGGAGGTAAGCAGTTAAGGGCGTTCCTTGTTGTCCTGTACAGAAGAGTATAACATGTGAAGCTATCAGGAATATTCTCAGACACCTTCAGAATGTTTGGTGAGGTGAAGCCCAGCAGATGCGGTTCCAGGTTAGACTTGCACTGGGTTGGATGCAGGGAGGAGTTCAGCCATCTGTAAACTATGGCTCTATTTGGCATTGGAATCTTGTGATCCAAGAGCTACTGCCCAGTGTGGTAGCCTGGTCTCTGAGCAATGGCAGAGCAGTGTATGGAGTGTGCAGATCTGTTCAGGATCTGTTCCGCTGACTTATGCCTGCGGTTTAATTGGAGCTCTCCCTTTGGCAAAGAGCCTGCTGCTTCTGAGAACCATTTCATACTGAACAGCTGAATTCTGTATGTTGTGTATTGGAGTGACTCTTCTACTTGCACGTTCAGTTGTACGACTGCAAATGCCTGAAGAGCTGCACTGGTGCAATGGCTCTCAAGCTTGACGATATTGGGCAGTGCAGAAGAATGCAGTCATTTGAGCTGCGCTTTCCTCCCAGCCATGCTGAAGCTGGGATTGACGTTGCAATCTCTTGCAGGTGGGAGACCTCGTGTGCGTCATCGAGATGCCGCCTCAGGAGCTGAGCCCCCGCTGGAGAGGCAAGCACGGCTTTCAGGTAGGCCCAAGCTTCAGACGTGAGAGCGCAACTTCGGTCGAGGCAGGAATCTCAGCTTAGAGCTGCCCTGCCTGCACAGCATGGCTCCACATGGAAAATGGTTTCCTTGTGCTGGTGTCAGAGGACTTTCCCTTTTGCTGTGGGCTTAGGCCCGAGCTGAAAGTTGGTCTTTGTAGGAAACTGCCTCCTCAGTTAACTTAGAAAGAAGAGCCCTCACAGCGTGCATCAGGTCACGGCCACTGAACCGCACCTTTGGAAATGCAGCAGCTAGGACACGTGTTTCAGTGTCTCTGAGCACTTGTGCTTGCACCCATGCAGAAGGTGAAGTCAGCGTCTTTTAGGAAGTCGCTGCCTGTCAGCTGAGATGAGGCAGGGTAACAGAGCCTCTGCGCGCTTGCTGCTGCTGCTGGCTGCAGAACGCTGGGTAGCTCAGAGCTGGGGATGGCAGCTGCATCTCGGTCAGCAAGCAGAAAGTTCATAGGCTGTGCCAACTCAGATCTATCTGCATCAATCTATCATAATATATAGCTTCTGTATGAAGTCTTTCCCTTCGGGCACGCTTGAGATTTAGGGGTGCATAGCATACTTGTCCTTTCCCCGCTCCATACACAGTTTTATGGATATTTGCCTGCCAATTTGGAATAATTATTAATTTTAAGCAGGCCATTTTTTGGTTGGATTGTCTTACGGAGCATCCGGCAGGCACGTGATGAGGAAAAGGTGATGTTTGAACAGTTCAGGCCTGAGAAACGCTGCCTTCAGTATTGCACGTCTCTTCTTCCTCTTGTTACAGGTTGGATTTTTCCCTGGTGAGTGTGTGGAGCTCATTAACGGAAAAATCCCGGAGTCTCTCATCAATTCAGTGCCAAAGCCAGGTACGATGAGACATTTGATGGTGCAGGGAAGCAAAATGGAGTCTCTTTTGGGTGTGTTCCATATTTAATACCTCCCTTATCCTTTCCCCCTTATCCTCTGTGCTGATAATCCTTCCTGCATAGCACGGGGCGTATGGCTGGTGTTTTGTAGGCAGTGAGAATGAGGGAAGGCAAAGGCAGTTCTCTGGTGTCACGGAGTTGATCAGATCAATCTATGTCCGTGACAGGGGCGGCAGGCCTCTGCCCTCCCCCCCCACCCCGGTCCCACAAAAAAAGTGGGAAGGAAGGAAGGGAGGAAAAGAGCAGCGGCAACAATCTATGGAGGAAAACTTATTTTACTATAATATTGGAATACAAGATAACACAATATATACAATTTAATTGAAATTGAGATTAATAAATCAAACCAGATGAGAGAGAGAGTTCCCGGGACCGATTCAAACCTGAAAAGCTTGGAACGGCCAGGAAAGCACCCTCCAGCATCCACTGCAAGGCAGCAAGAGAGCGCCCCCCCCACCCGGAAGGGCCAGATCCCGTGACTGCTGTAATGTACAGGGATAGGTAGCTGGGATTGGGGCAGTGACACTTTAATGCCCCGTACACTACATGATGTTTTGATGTGGAATACTGAAATCCAAAAACAAGAAAAGCAAAAAACAAAAACATAAAACCATGACATTCCACCCCTTATTCTACATCGTTACATCATGCTTAAAATATTATACATATATACAAACAAACAAAAAATGATTAAAATGCATACATGGCTATATACATATACATAGAATTAGTAACTGCACTCCCCCGGCATCAAGTTTCCTTGTGGTACACATTGAACATCCCCATTCTTCTGCATTACCCACCAAGTGGATCCTGGTCCCTGGGCAAAAACTGTACCACGGAGAGGTTTGCCCTTTCCAGAAGCTGGAAGAACCCAAACTGCCTTTCCTAACATGTTCTTTACATGTACAACAGGGACTTTATCTCCCTCTACGGTATGTAGGGAACTGGATTGGTTGGGACCATCACGATTGATAGATCCTCTGGTATTGACTAACCAGGTGGCTTCTGCCAAATGCTTCTCCCAGTGCTTAAATGTTCCACCACCCAGTGCTTTTAGCATCGTTTTTAACAATCCATTGTATCGTTCAATTTTACCAGAGGCTGGTGCATGGTAGGGGATATGGTAAATCCACTCAATGCCATGATCTTTGGCCCAAGTATTTACAAGAGAATTTTTGAAATGAGTCCCATTATCTGACTCTATCCTTTCTGGGGTGCCATGTCGCCACAGGACTTGTTTCTCGAGACCCAGTATGGTGTTTCGGGCGGTAGCATGGGGTACTGCAAATGTTTCAAGCCACCCAGTGGTTGCCTCCACCATAGTAAGCACATAATGCTTACCATTGCGAGATCGTGGCAAGGTGATATAATCAACCTGCCATGCCTCCCCATATTTGTACTTTTGCCATCGCCCTTCCTCCCACAGAGGCTTCATCCTCTTGGCTTGTTTGATGATGGCACATGTTTCACAGTTATGAATAACCTGTGCAATGGCATCCATAGTTAAGTCCACCCCTCGGTCTCTAGCCCATTTGTATGTTGCATCTCTCCCTTGATGACCTGAGGTCTCATGGGCCCACCGAGCCAGAAATAATTCACCCTTGTTCTGCCAGTCCAGGTCTATTTGAGCCACCTCAATTCTGGCAGCTCGGTCTACTTGATGGTTATTTTGCTGTTCTTCAGTAGCCCGACTCTTGGGCACATGAGCATCTACATGGCGCACTTTTACAACCATAATTCTTTGTTCGGGCAGCAATGTCTTTCCACAGTTCAGCAGCCCAAATAGGTTTCCCCCTTCTTTGCCAGTTATTTTGCTCCCACTGCTGTAACCACCCCCATAAGGCATTCGCTACCATCCATGAGTCAGTGTAAAGATAGAGCATTGGCCACCTCTCCCTTTCAGCAACATCTAAGGCCAGTTGGACAGCCTTTACCTCTGCAAATTGGCTTGATTCTCCTTTCCCTTCAGTGGCCTCTGCAACTTGTCGTGTGGGGCTCCACACAGCAGATTTCCATCTGCGATGCTTTCCCACAATACGACACGATCCATCTGTGAACAGGGCATATTTCTTTTCATTCTCTGGTAGTTCATTGTATGGTGAGGCTTCTTTAGCACGTGATACTTCTTCTCCTGGTGGTGTTCCAAACTTTTTACCTTCAGGCCAGTCCATGATAACCTCTAGGATTCCTGGACGGCTGAGGTTCCCCATCCGTGCTCGTTGTGTAATCAGTGCAATCCACTTACTCCAAGTGGCATCAGTAGCATGATGGGTGGAGGGAACCTTTCCTTTAAACATCCAGTTCAGCACTGGCAGTCGAGGTGCCAGAACGAGCTGTGTTTCAGTACCGACTACTTCGGAAGCAGCCCGAACCCCCTCATAAGCGGCTAAGATCTCCTTTTCAGTTGGGGTGTAGTGCTCTTCAGACCCTCTGTACGCCCGACTCCAGAATCCCAGGGGTCGGCCTCGAGTCTCTCCTGAGGCTCTTTGCCACAAACTCCAAGTGGGACCGTTCTCTCCAGCAGCGGTATAGAGGATGTTCTTTATGCCCTGTCCCGTCCGTACTGGCCCTAGGGCCACGGCACGGGCTATCTCCTGTTTAATCTGTTCAAAAGCCTGCTGCTGCTCAGGGCCCCATGTAAACTCATTTCTCATTCGCGTCACATAATAAAGGGGGCTTACAGTGAGGCTGTAGTTTGGAACATGCATTCTCCAAAAGCCCACTGCACCCAGAAAAGATTGTGTCTCTCTTTTGCTAGTGGGTGGAGACATAGCAGTGATTTTGTCGATCACATCTGTCGGGATGTGACGACGGCCATCTTGCCACTTTATGCCTAGGAACTGAATCTCCTGGGCAGGTCTTTTCACTTTGCTTCGCTTAATAGCAAAACCAGCACTCAGAAGAATTTGGATCATTTGCTCTCCTTTTGTAAAGACTTCTTCTGCTGTATCGCCCCACACAATGATGTCATCAATGTACTGCAGGTGCTCAGGAGCACTGCCCTGTTCCAATACAGTTTGGATCAACCCATGGCAAATGGTCGGGCTGTGTTTCCACCCCTGGGGCAAACGGTTCCAGGTATACTGAATGCCCCTCCATGTGAAAGCAAACTGTGGCTTACATTCTTTGGCCAAAGGAATGGAAAAGAAGGCATTAGCAATGTCAATGGTGGCATACCATTTGGCCGCTTTTGACTCCAGTTCATACTGGAGTTCTAACATGTCCGGCACAGCAGCACTCAGAGGGGGTGTGACTTCATTCAGGCCACGGTAGTCCACCGTCAGTCTCCATTCTCCACTGGCTTTACGCACTGGCCATATGGGGCTGTTAAAAGGCGAGTGAGTTTTGCTGATCACTCCCTGGCTCTCTAGTTGACGAATTAACTTATGAATGGGGAGCAAAGAATCCCTGTTGGTGCGGTACTGCCGCCTATGCACCGTTTTTGTAGCAATCGGTACGTGTTGCTCTTTTACTCGCAGCAGCCCCACAACAGATGGATCTTCTGACAGGCCAGGCAAAACAGATAGCTGCTTAATGTTGTCTATGTCCACAGCAGCTATTCCAAAGGCCCATCGATACCCCTTAGGATCCTTGAAATGCCCCCTTCTGAGATAATCAATACCTAGTATACATGGAGCCCCTGGGCCCGTCACAATAGGATGTTTTTGCCAGTCCTTACCAGTGAGGCTTATCTCAGCCTCCAACACAGTCAATTCTTGAGAGCCCCCCGTCACTCCAGAAATATGGATTGATTCTGTCCCTTGGTGACTCGAGGGCATCAGAGTGCACTGTGCACCAGTGTCCACCAGTGCCTTATATTTCAGTGGTTCTGATGTGCCAGGCCATCGAATCCACACAGTCCAATATACTCTATTATCCCTTTCCCCCTCCTGACTGAGGGCAGGGCCCCTCTATTCATTACCTGTGGTAACTGGAGCAACTGCACTGATGGTTGATCTGCTTTGTAATTCTTTCACCCGGGCTCGTAGTACAGGAGTAGGCTGACCGTGCCACTTCCCCATGTCTTCTCCATGGTCACGCAGGTAATACCATAAGGCAATTCGCGGTGTATTACCCCTTACTTGAGCCGGAGAGCGTTTGCTTCTAACAGCTGAGATCTTTGACCGTGCACGTGAGAAGGAAGGTTCATCGTCTTTAGTTAGGTGGGCTCGCATCATCTCCTTCATCTCCTTGATTTCCTTCATTAGACTCTTTTGATTATCCTGATCTTCATCAAGCGTCTCTGATACTGCTACAGGTTTGTCGCGGTTAATCAGTTGAGAAACTTGCTCCGTCATTTTTGATATAGCAGCAACGGCAGCATGAATCGGGGACAGCAATTGTTCGTAGTTTTGAAGCGTAACAATTAATTCATAAACTAAGGGCGTTCTCTGTTGTTCGTTGAATCTGTCACACGCTGACATCAGTGTAGAGGCATATTTGTCCGGCGCTGTTGTCACGATTTTCTGCCATATCTCAGGCGTTGTCCTCACTCTTTCAGGGTCGCGGTTTTGGTGTGGGTCGTTAGGAACAAAGTCAGGGTCATACAACATTTCCACCACGCCTATTTCCCTCAAATACTGGATCCCCTTTTCAACTGTATCCCATTTTTTCATTGCAATCTTCAAGCCATTTTTGAAGGGATACTTTTCCTTCACGGCTGTTAACACTCGTTCCCAGAGGGAGGCAGCTTCATCCGAGCATCGACTAATTCCTCTATCAATAGCCGGATCTCTGGCAATGGCACCTAGTTGGCGAGCTTCATTACCATCCAGAGACAAGCTATGGGCCCCACTGTCCCAACAGCGAACCAACCAGGAAACAAGAGTTTCATTCGGGCGCCATGTAAACTCCTTTCTTGAACCTTGGATTTCAGTCATCTTTAGAGGCCGGCGAGTAGTAATAGAGACTTCCTCTTCATCACTCTCTTCTGCACGTCTCTTAGTTTTCCCTTTTGCCTTTCGCGATGGTGGTGGTCCTGAGGAGGGCCCCTCGCCTGGATCTTCTTCCACCTCCTCCTCCTCTTCTTCTCTTTTTCGTTCAAGACGCGAAGACACTCGTTTCCATTTCTTGCCCTCCACAGGAGCAACTGGTATTGTTACTGGTGTCTCCTGTGATTGATTAGATTTGACTTGGGGATTTTCCCCTTTAGCTTGAACCTCAGCTCGGAAACTCTCTCTCTCCAGAATGGTATTATATAGGGCACGGTAAGCACAAGCCAAACCCCAAATAAGTTGTACCTCCTTAGATTTATGTAAGCCGCATAGTCCCTGACTCAAATACTGGCTTAGTTTCTCAGGATCCCACAGGTGTTCAAGGGTAAAATCCCATGACACTGCAGGTCCCCATGCTTCTAAGACCTTTCCTAAACCTCTCCATATTCCCTGCCAATCATCATTCTCTAGTTTTGGAAGAGACTCCTTTCCCTTAATACGAATGCATAGGAATACATTCAGGAAAACTGATGACATGCACACCAACATGACTATTAATTCAGGATTCAAAAAACGTTTGACAAACCGAGAAGAAAAACCGGAGACTGGTCTGAACATCGTGTTGTTTGTAAAATTAGCTATTCCATTTGGGATGTAACTGTTTGTGAAATTAGCCATTCCATTTGGGATGTAGCTGTTTGTGAAATTAGCCATTCCTTCCGGGATGTAAATGTCAAAATTCAAATCATACCACATTGCAAGTAGGTGAAACATAGGTGTCTCCATCAGGGCCATTAGGTACCTATATACGGTTGCAATTCCAACACACGTAAGTGCAAGATGGATTATTGGCCAGTAGGTTGTGAGTAACACCATTGCTTTAAATCCTTTACACAGCGCCCCCACGATAACGAGTGGGTTCATCAGAGGTGCCTGCTAAAAAGGGGTTAATGAACTGAAGCTAACAAGAGCAGGGAAAAAAAAAAGAAAAAAAGGCACTACCCAGACTAAGTAGTGCTCAAAGTTTACAAATATCCCAGAACACTGGCAGTACGCCTAATCTTTCAAGGTCAGGTTTTCCAGCACAGAAACCTGAACTACTGATAATGCTCACTAACGAAGCTCTGTAAGAGCAGAGAGAAAAAGAGATTCGTTCTAACAGCTAAAAAGCAGTTCGAGCCCCACGTTGGGCGCCAAAATCTGTCACGGAGTTGATCAGATCAATCTATGTCCGTGACAGGGGCGGCAGGCCTCTGCCCTCCCCCCCCACCCCGGTCCCACAAAAAAATGGGAAGGAAGGAAGGGAGGAAAAGAGCAGCGGCAACAATCTATGGAGGAAAACTTATTTTACTATAATATTGGAATACAAGATAACACAATATATACAATTTAATTGAAATTGAGATTAATAAATCAAACCAGATGAGAGAGAGAGTTCCCGGGACCGATTCAAACCTGAAAAGCTTGGAACGGCCAGGAAAGCACCCTCCAGCATCCACTGCAAGGCAGCAAGAGAGCGCCCCCCCCACCCGGAAGGGCCAGATCCCGTGACTGCTGTAATGTACAGGGATAGGTAGCTGGGACTGGGGCAGTGACACTTTAATGGCCCGTACACTACATGATGTTTTGATGTGGAATACTGAAATCCAAAAACAAGTAAAGCAAAAAACAAAAACATAAAACCATGACATCCGGCAAGTCCGTACGAGGCTGAGAACAGCCAGCGTCCCTGGTGGACAGATAGAGGTCTGGTTGTGCTAGTGACACGCTTGATCAGAACGTGGCTTTTCAAGAGGGTCCTTAATGCCCAGGTTGAGCAAGCTAAGCAAGAGGAGTGCATTCAACTCCATCAGAACGTGCAGAGATTTGGCCCAGTCCTCCTGTGTTTTATGACTGGAGTTGGGGAAATCCTAGAATCCTTGTAGAATGGCTTGGCATGGAAGGGAGCTCGAGGATCATCAAGCTCCAAGCCCCCTTGCCTCAAGCTGGGCTGCCAACCAAGCTCCACGTTTAAAGTGGGACTGGACCAGGCTGCCCAGGGCCCCATCCAGTCTGGCCTTGGACTCATCCAGGGTTGGGGAAAATCCATTTTGGTACGCACTTGCTCATCATGTTCTTCCCGTTTTGAGGTGCTCTGTAGAACGTGTTGTGCTCGGCCTCGTCCAACGGAGCCAAACCTGAGATGAACTGGTTTCTTCCTTTTGTTGTGCAGTGCCAAAGAAGCGCGGCAAGCTCCTCACCTTCCTTCGTTCCGTGGTGAAGGCCCGCCCAAAGCAACGGAAAGAGCGGGAGGTGGAGAAGGAGAGGGTGTTTGGCCGTGACCTGGGAGAGCATCTTCTTCACTCTGGTCGTGATGGTAAGGGACAGCCCATTCCTGAGAGCTTCCCTGTTTGAGAACCTAACGATGAAAGGGAAATAGTATCTAGCAAGGGGCAGGTTGATACCAGTGGAGAAACGGGGAATGGGAGTTGATGGCTGAAAGATGAAGTGAGGCTAATGCTCCCAAGAGACAAGCACGTTTGTATTTGCTTCAGCCAAGCCCGGCTGGGCTTAGTGGATGGGATGTGACGGGAGCGCAGTCTGAGGCAGGACTTGACTAAGGAGCTCCAGTAACCGCCGGCACGTGTTCTTTAGTCCCCCAGGTCCTCCAGAGCTGCGCCGAGTTCATCGAGCAGCATGGCGTGGTGCAGGGGATATACCGCCTGTCCGGCGTGGCGTCCAACGTCCAGAGACTGCGGTAAGAGTGCTGCGACTGACAGACACAGCTGCCAGCAGGGGCACGTGCCCTGCTGCGGGCGTTCAGAGGCCTGCGGGCAATGCCTTAGCACAGACAAAAGGTCTCCTTTGGGAACATCCCATCCAGCACGGCTGACGTGGTGCTGGTGGCCGAGTGTTTGTGTTCTCCTGTACATTCAGGAAGCCCTTCCAACTCTTGATTGCATTGGGTGTGGCTTTTGACTTGCTTTCCTCTTTCTCAACCGCTTTCGTGTCCTTCTCTGCAGCCAGGAATTTGAGTCTGAGCAGGTTCCTGAGCTAACCGTCCGCGACGTTCACAGCGCGAGCTCCCTCTGCAAAATGTACTTCAGGGAGCTCCTGACCCCCCTGCTGACTGACCAGCTGTACGACAAGTTCTCGGTAAGCACCAGGCAACGCCTTTCCTTTCCCTCTTCGCTGGGCCTCTTGGGAGATGGCTGCAGCAGTGCCCCAGCTCTGAGGCCCTTCTTCTGTTAGCCCCATGGGGTTTACTCGCATGTCTTTGCCACATCCTGCATCATGCTGATGCCGCTTCTGGTGGCCCCAGGAGGTGGTTATTTCCATATTCACAGTGCTTGCGAGAATTCCTGTGTTGTTTGTTTGTTTGTTTGTTTTTTGCTATTCCCCAGCTATTTCTGGAACAGAAAGGGGATTAATAGCCAAGCGTACTTGGAGATGAATGCCCCCTGCGAGGAGCTGAGCTGCCCAACCAGGCTGTAAACCGGCCCGGTGCTTGGACTCCTTGGCCGTGGTGGCACCAGCTGCGTGCCGATGTGTTTGCCAGATGCCTCTGGGGAGGCCTAAAATCTTTCTCAGTGCTGACCAGCAGCGCGCTGTGCCCATGGTTCCCGACCCTGCGGCAGGTATCTCGCCTGATTTGTGTCTCAATCCCTTTCTGCCCTTTTCCAGGATGCTGTTGGTGCCACTACGGAGGAGGAGCGGCTGGTCAGAATGCGGGACACCATCCAGCAGCTGCCCGCTCCTCACTACAGGTCAGTGCTGCCCTCAGCCTGCTGAGCTCAGCCCTGGTGCACTTCAGAGGGCAATGGTGCGATTCCAGGCTTTGTCTCACGTGAGCAACACGATGCCTGGGTATGTTGAAGCGGTTGAAGGCTACACGGGTTTAATTTACAGGGTTAATTTATTGGGTCAGGTCCTGGGCACGGGGGCACGCTTGGTGCAGCTGATGGCTGTGGCTGTGCTGTGCTGGTGCTGGGTGCTGCAGCGTGGCACTTGGTCAAGTTGGATCTACTTCATCTTCAGCATCAGTAGCAGTAATAACAACTAGTGTGAATTGAGGTTTGCTTTGTGAGTGGCAGCACGGCATGCTGGCTGGTGCTGAACATTTGCCTCTCTTGTTTCCCAGGACCCTGGCGTATCTGATGAGACACTTGGCCTGTCTGTCTGCGAACAGCTCTGTCACCAACATGCACTCTAAGAACTTAGCCATTGTGTGGGCTCCAAACCTCCTAAGGTAAACTTCTTTTTCCATTTCAACAGAACGCTTTCATCTGTTCTCCAGTAGAATAAAGCAGTCCTCCCTTCTTCTGCACCACATGTGCTCTTCTCCTGTAAAATGTGCAGTGAGTGGCTGACAGCAGAGCAGGAGCCTGGACTGTTCTCCAACCCCACGTGGGCACAATTTCTAGCTGGGAATTGCTGCTCTCTTGTTTAGATGGGACTGGTGTGTCCTTGATCAGACAGGAGAACTTCTTCAGTGGCATCACTGATTGCCCACTGCGGAAGTCTCCGGAGCCCAGTTTGACAGCTTTGGGCTGCAACAGTTCAGACCTGGGGAAGCGATCTTGGCTGAATGACTTCTAAAACCTGCCTTTTCTACAGATCACAGCAGAGCGAGTCTGCCTGCGCCAGTGGGAGAGCTGCCTGCACGGAACTGCAGACGCAGTCGGCCGTGGTGGAATTCATCATCGACCACACAGACGTCCTCTTCTGCTCCACATCTGGACCTGACATGGCAGATGGAGCAGGTGAGTGTCTTCCTCCATTAGCTTTATCTTGGTCAGACACCTGGATCAAACGCAGGCTTTCTCCAACTCCTTTGAAATACACTTTTACTATCAAGGGGACAGCAGACTTCTGGGCTTAGATTGGAATCTGGCGTCCAGTTGCTGGATGCTGAGAATGTGCAAGCCCAAACTTGACCAGGAGAAAACTGTCACCGTCATTATTACGTTTTGCAAGCAGGTGAAACTTGATTAACGTGTGGCAGCGAAGCTTTCTCAGTTCCCTGCCCCCATTTTCTAGGGTTTTTGTTTGCCTGTTTCGATACAGGGACCCGCTCCTAATTATGACTGCGTCCTCTGCCATAGACACACCTCTGAGCACATGGTTATTTTGAGCTGCTCTTCTTCCAGTGGCTCGGTTAAGCAAGTCTAAGGAAAACACAGCAGCTCCCGGACCTGCGATGGCTGTGCTGCCGCTTTCTGATCCTGGCTCTCACCTGTGGTTTTCCCTTCCAGGGCACAGTTCTCTCTCAGGGCCCCAGTCTGTGCGAGCCTCTTCTCCTGCCACAGAGCTGCTCAGCCTGGAGGAGGCGCAGGCACGGAGGCAAGGCCACAGCAGCTCTCCTGTCACTGTGACACAGAGCAGGGACATGAAAGTGGAAAAAGGCCCCACAGCTGTACGGGAGAAATTCCACACCATCATCGACTTTCCATCTGAAAGGTAAAGAGGACTTTGTTTTCCAGTACCTTATCATCATTGTTTGGGTGGGTTTTTGTGGTTCCCCCCCCCCCCCCCCCCCATTATTTCTAGTGCCAAAGCTTGCTGAAACTCAGTTAAACTGATGGTGCCTGAAGTGTTGCAGTGAATCTCCACTCCCTTTGCACTGTGAGACAGAACTCACATTCAGTTGCCTACCGGGCTGAGTTTAGCCACACAAGGCTGGCATTCCCTCCTTGCTGGGCAGGCAGTCACGAGATGCATAAAGCCACGCTGACGTCTGTCCTGGCCTGTGCTGGCTGTACCTGGAAACGTTGGGGTTTTCCGGACTTCAGGGCCACGTGCCTGAATCCAATTCCGATTCTCCTCGAAGCAGAGCTGTTGGTCAGACCTGCTGGCACGAGAAACTAGACATGGCAGTGAGATGGGGCCAATGAGCTGTCAGTGTCAGAGTCAGAGATGCTTTTGGAGTTCCACGCACAACTCACACCATTCCCTGTTTCTTCTCTCCAGACCAAGTGCACCCAGCAGGATGAAGGAATCACCAGCTGGCTGTTGCTGTTCCTGCTTCAGCCTGGGAAAACCATCCTCCGTGGCCAAACGCCAACCGCAGCGCCGCCCCAGGGAGCCCTCAGAGACAGACATTGTAGTCCTGGCAGGTAAGGGTGCAAATCCTGCTTTCAACACCCTGCTTCTCAGCAACGTAGAATTCTTGCTGTCAGTGGGCTTGTATCTCCTTCTAGCGATCCAGCCCATACCTGACACCTTCAGTTCTCCCCTGATCAAGAACCACTTTTGTAATTCAACTTGTGAGAGTTGGACACCAACCCCTGTTCATTCTTTTCTAGGTGATTTGAGCTCTTGTCAACCCAGATGTGCCAGAGCAAGTAGCGAAGCTGGGCTGTGTGCTTCCACCAATGGAGAGCTCTTGGGAAGCACCAATGGCTGCGGTTCAGATGACAGCCTGCTGCATAACAACAGTGGCGGACACAAGGAGCTCATCCAAGTCCAAGCCCTCGTTTCTCCCAGCTCTGCTGAAGATGCTGACCTGAGCCTGTCACACACCACAGGCACCAGCCTGGACTGTGACCCAGTGCCTCTGCAGTGCAGCCCAGCCCAAGCACAGCCTGAGTGCCCTGACAGCAGCACCTCTGTGCAGGAGCAGGTCAGCAACAGCGAGGAGAAGCCGTGCCCCTTGGAGGGGGACTTAGAATCAGGCCTCCAGTCCCAGGCACCGTGCAGCGGCTCTGAGAGCCTTGAGCCGCTCTCTCCGTGACCTTTCCATCCAAGAGAGGACGATTCCCATCTTTACCTGAACCTCTCACGCCCTCCTGTCTTTTCCTTTAATAATAAAAGCACGCTTGTGCTCACTCAACGCCTTGACTGCCTGTGGAGTCTTCATTCCCAGGGACTGGGATGAATGCAACAAACAATGAGGCACCTCAGCTTGCAACGCTGAGGCTGTGGGGTGCACGAAGCAGAGCTTGGGGTTAGTTCCCGTTTTGTCTGGCTTTGGGGTGTCTGCAGCTCCCATTTGGTACGGTAGCAAATAATCTCTAGCATCCTGGATGCTGCTCGTGGTAACCCCATGCTTCCTGACGGTGGCGTTGTGATTCAGGGCTTTCGGATGCCTTGTGATGCCTTGGCTGCTCCCTAACACCTCTCTCCTCTGTCTGCATCCATTCCTTGCTCCCAACCTGTGAGCTGCCTGTGCAGATCATCTGCAACCCTGTCATCATCATGCTGCGGCAGGACGAGCTCACTCAGACCTGGCGTCTCATTGCTCAGCGTCAGCGCTGTCCTGCCCCTGGCAGCCTCTCATTGGTCAGCGGTAGCGCTGTCCCGCCCCTGGCAGCCTCTCATTGGTCGGCGGCACTGCTGTCCCATCCCCGCCAGCCTCTCATTGGTTAGCGGCAGCGCTGCTTCCTCCCCCGGGGTCTCCTTGATCCGCAGTAGCTCCTCCGGCTGCAATTGGCTGAGCCGCCGTGCACGGGAGCGGTCGTTGGGGGCCGGCTGTTGGAGGAGCGGCAGGGCTGTTGCTGTCCGGGCAGCAGCGAGATGGAAGCTGCAGCACAACAGGAGCGAGTGCTGAGGGCAGCTCCGCCAGAGATTTGTGGGAGAGCGGTCCTGGGACAGGGAGAGGAGCGTATTATTTTACATACATTATATATTTTATATTTTATTTTTGTTTTAACTAATTAAGTGCTGGAGAAAGTTTTGGAAAAGTTTCAGGTTGAAGAGGAGGTGAAGCTGTTTCAGTATGTAGATGATTTTCTGATTTGTGGAAAAGAGGAGTCTAAAGTAAGAGACTAAGTAAAACTCTGAATTTCTTGGGAATAGGGGCTAGGGCTTTTTGAACTGTATTATTTTGTGAATAGAAGAATATGTACAAGAAACAAAGATTGTACCTCCAACTATCACAGGGAGAACGCAACATATTAAAATAGACAAAAGAGGGAAAAGAATTAGTAGAAGTATTGAAACAGGACTTAATCACAGCACCTGTGTTAGAACTGCCTGCGTTAAAGGAACCATTTCACCTTTTGATAACTGTCAGTGAAAGAGCTGTTTTAGGCATTCTAACACAAGAATAGGGAGACAAAAGAAAACCTATTCATAGTTGTTCAAGGTATTAGACCCTGTATCTCAGGGTTGGCCTGAACGTGTGGCTGTGTCCAGGTGGTATCAGCAACTGCCTTACTGGTAGAAGAGAGTGTGCGTGTACACTTTGGGAGTGTAAGGAGCAAGTTGTTGACAATACGTGTTCCCCCCCTACCCTTCCATGAAGAGATTGCTCCACATTTTGAGGCATGACGGTTACAAAAAAAAAAATAAAAAAATAGAGCAGGAATCTGCTCCTCAATCTCTTAAAAAAGCATAGTGCCAAACTCTCCCCCGTGGAGATGAAATGGGCGTGGAATAATTGGTCCAACTTAGAGGGAGTCATGGGTCATATTAAATTCCCTCCATAATCAAATTTGTATGGGGGAGGAAAAGGGAATATCAATCATTTGTGCAGTTCCAGGAGCTGCTCTTAGTGCTGCCATAGAGATCCGCAATGAACAGCACATGGTAGAAACCCAAATTATAAAGTCCTTGCAGGAATTGGTGACATACCTGCAGTACCAAGTAGAAGATCTTAGGGGACAGAAAAAGAAGAACATTCAAAAGGCCTCCCTCAGCAAGCCCTTAGAGAACAGTTGGTAAATGACAGGGAGATAGATGCTAGATCCCCAAGTAGTGACTTTCCTCCAGGAGAAAATCTTGAGGATGTGAGAGCCCAAAAAGACAAGTTGGGAAACCTGTGATCCTTCTCTGCCTTTAGATAGAAACTGGGCGTGCATGGGAAGAGACTGGCAGTGGGTATTCTGATGTTCATACTGACGAGGTTCCCTGTTTGCTACGGAGCCGGCCAAAGTAAGGAAGGATTTTGGTGACACCCTTAGGAAATCAGTATGTGTGGAAAGTGCCATTAACAGAGGGAGGTCAGATCTTGCTGACTGAAAAGGAATCAGAGGGTTATTGAGGACCTGGAATATTTTTCACCACGGGCAACCACTGCCAGTGGTCCCTTACTCCAAGCGCTGCTTATTGGGATGATTACTCCCCAGGACAACTGCTGTTGATTGATTTGCCCCACCGTGGTCCTGTCCCTTTAACCCTCAGGGAGACTCTTCACAAATACTTGTGGAAGCCTCAATATGATCAGGAGGAACTGTACAAAATTAACCGTCTGGATTTCACCTCCCTTCTAACTTTGGTTCATTTAGGACCAGGAAGTCTTATTTCTGTTTTGTTTTCTTTTCCAGTTTTGCTTCTTCTAACCTTGGCTCCTTTGGAACCAGGAAGTTCTCTCTTGTTTTCCAGATGCTAACGAATGCTGATACGGTTGTTGTAGCTCACATGTTCCCTTCTCACTCTGCTCCTTTCTCTGGGATCCCCGTGGTATCATTGGTGTTACTGTTTTGGACAGGAATCTTCTTCAGATTAATTTTTGTAATTGCTTATGATGACCTTAACACAGTCACTGGCTGGTCACGGTCCCATGCCCATATTGGCAGTACTGGGCATTTAGTTAGTTTTACTTATGATCCTGTCACTAACTCTCCCGCAGCTTTTGTCCTAATACACAATGCTTCGGTACATACCATACACTTAATCATTGTGCTGGGACTGAATCACAATGGAGTTTTTTTGTTTATTTTTTTTCCCTGCAGAGGAGAAAGAATCACAAATGCTTGTGGAGAAAAAAGACTCAGGGATTTCTTCTTTCTTGCTAGCAGATCTTGATGCTCTCCTCTTCCTGCCAGTGGGCTGCGTGTCATGCCATAGTCCTGCAGTCTCCAGAAGTGACCCCACGTGCTACCAAAACAGATCACAGACCTGGATTCAGGCGTTCCTCGTTCTCCCACTGCACGAGCTGTCATGGAGCAGCATGTGATCTCTGAAGTTGCTCCCACACCTGTAGTTGTTCTTTGGGCTCGGCATCAGTTGTCTCTTGCACTCACGTGGCTTTCACCTGGTATTCTTTCTTTTCCCCCATCTTTAGGGCTCCCAAGTACTGCTGTGATGTCTGTGCCTTCTGTCGCTCCCACCAAACATGGGTTTGTTCTTTTTAGGTTCAATTTCATTTCTTGACATTATGCAATGTTTCTCATTTTTCTTGTGTTTCATGTTGCCAATCTACGCCTAGTTGGAGCTACAGCGAGCCCAAATGCTGACTGCTCTGCTTTGACCAAGTGAGATGCAAAAAGAAGAGGTAGGTTGCAAAACAGGCTTCTAGTGCGTGCCATGTAAGACTTGGGGTATCCAGAGTTAACTTCTTGTCTTTCTCCTTTTCCAGTTCCCTTTGATTTTTTCCCCCTTTTTTATAATTTATTTTCATTTCCTAATCCACTTTCTAATTCTACTTCTTTTCTTTTTTCCAATTCCTTTTCCAATTCCTTTTCCGAATAGTTTTCTGCTTCATTTTTTTCTTTTTACCTTTTTCTTTTCTCTCCTTGTTCTTTTATTTCCTTTTCTTTCTCCTTCTAATTTGTTTTCTTAAGACTTTTTCAAATTCTTTTTTGTTTTGAATTTTTTCTATTTCTTTCTAATTCTTTCTTTTTCTTTTGATAATTCTGTTTCCAATTGTTTTTCTTTTTCATGTTCCTTTTCTTAGTCATATTCCTTTCCGTTTTTTATTTTCTTCAACATATTCCAATTCTCATTCCAATTCTTTTTCCTTTATTAATTATTTTTCCATTCCCTTTTCTAAATCTTTCTCTCTTTCTAAATCCGTTTCTTCTTTCCTGTTTCTAATTGTGAGAATCCTTTGTTTTTTGGCTCAAAGCTTGCTTCCTGAGGTTTTTCTTGTGATAAGACTCTCAATGATTTGTTAAGGAGGCAAGTGATGGGTGCTAACCGTGTGACAATCGACATCACTTTGGGAACATTTGAGAGCCCCTTCCTCCAGAGCTGCTTGCCTCCAGAATAGAGTGCTCAGGAGTGTTCACTGGCAGAAGATCTGGCCTGTGACTAAACAGCTCCAGCTTGGTATGGGAAAACTGGGGAATGATACCATCGTGTTCTGTGAAAAACAAGATGCAGATGGGCATCCCTGCTCCCTCTTGTCTGCTGGCAAGGCCCAGAAGATGGGAACAGAGGAGTTTCTGCTGAGATCCCAGAGCCAGAAGCTGCCGCTCCAAGGAGAGCTGACTCAACCACATTGGATTTGAGCTGTCACTCCAAAGACAGCTGACTCGACCACTTTGAAACTATTGAAAAGGGGCCGTCATCGCCATGGTCATGGCCGTCGTTCTCATCATTCTCCTCATCGTCAACAGAACAATGCCTGACGACCCACCACTACTGAAGATCAAAGACTGAATTACAAACCACGCTGGATCCATGGTGGTGACTGTCTCCCTCTTACTTCCTGTAAAGACTCCTTGCTTCTTCTTTCCTATCTTTCCTATCGCCCTCCTTCCCTTCCCCATTACCCTAATTCATAATAGCATCCGTCCTCCCCTTCCCCATTTCCCTAATTACGATTTGTAATAAATTGGTCGGACCAACATTTGAACCATTGTTTCTTAATCTCACGCTGGGTATATAGATAATAAAAGAACCTCCTCTCCCTCCTATAAATTGGAGCAAGACACTAATCTGCTTTGTTTTTCTAATTTTTTTTCCTAATTCTTTTCCTATTTCTTTTTCCTGTTGCAAGTCTTTCTTTTCATTGCAAGTCTTTTTCCTTTTTCTATTTCATTTTTTTTCTTTTTTGAATCCCAATTCTTTTTCAAGTTGTAGTTCTTGTGTTCTCTTTCTGGATCATTTTCTATTTTTTTTTTTCCTAATTCTTTGTCTAATTCGAACTATTTGTCTAATTCTTTTTCTATTTTTTTCTTTTTCCAATTCCTTTTTGTTTCCTTTTTCCATTTCTCATTCTAATTTTAATTCTTCTTCTTTTTTTAAAAAAAAAATATATATACTTTTTGGTCTTTCTAATACTTTTGTTTTCTAATTTTCTTTTTCCTTTTCTAATGATTTCTCCAATTCTTTTTCTAATTCTTTTTCTGCTCCTTGTTTTTCTTTTTCTAATTCTAATTCTTTTTCCAAGCCTTTTTTGTGGTCCTTTTCCCAGTCTAAGTCTTTCTTTTTTCTATTTCAATTTTTTTCTAACTCCAACTCTTTTTCTAATTGTAGTACTTTTTCTTTTCCCTGTTGAACATCTTTTCCCTGTTCCATGTCCTTTTCATTTTTCTGTTTCAGTTTTTTCTTTTACGTTTTCCAATTTTTTCTAATTTTTTTAAATTAATTTTCTAATTCATTTTCTATTTTTTTCTGTTCTTTTTGATTGTTTCTTTTTTTTTCAGATTCTAAATATTTTTCTACTTTTCATTGTAAAACTTGATATCTTTCTATTTTTTCTTTATATTTTTCCTTTTTCTAATTCATTTTATTTTTCTCAATCTTTTTCCACCTCTTTTTCTGTTTCCAGGTTTTTCTTTTTGCAGTTTTTTCCTTTTCCAATTATCGTTCTAATTCTTCTCCTTTTTCTTTATCCATTGGTTTTTCTTTTCTAATTCCTTTTCATATCCATTCTCTTGCTCTAGTGCTTTTGTTTCCTTTCTCTTCTTTTTCATTTTCCAATTCTTTTTCCAGGTCTGTTTCCATTTCCAGTTCTCTTTCCAATTTTTCATCTATTTTTTTCCATTTTTTCTTTTCTCAATTCCTTTTTATACAATTCCTTTTCTTTTTCCAATTCCTTTTCTTTTCATCTTCTTTTCCATATTCTTGTTTTTCCTCTCTCTAATTATTTTTCTAATTCTTCTTCTATTTTTTCTAATTATTCTCTTTTTTCTTATTATTTTTCATTGTTCTATTTCTAATTCTTTTTCTAGACTTTTTTTCTCACTTTTTCATTTTCCTTTATTTTTTCACTTTTTTTTGTCTTTCTAGTTCCTTTTCCAATTCCTTTTCTAATATTTTTTTCTAATTCTTTCTCATTTCCCATTTTTTTCAGTTCCTTATCTTTTTCTTTTTCCAATTCTCATTCTAATCCTAATTTGTCTTCGTTTTTTCTTTTTCTAATTGTTTTTCTCTTTCATTTTCTAATTCTAATTATTTTCTTTCTTTTCTATTTCGAATTATTTTTATAATATTTTCTTCGCCTTTTTCTTCTCCCCTTTTCTTGTTTTTCTGTTTCTTACTCTTTTTGTCTTATTTCCTAATTCTTTTTCTAATTCTTTGTCATATTCTTTTGATTTTTTTCCTTTTCTAATATTTTTTTCCCTAATTGGTTTTCTTTTTCCTTTTTATTTTTGTTATTCTTTTTCTAATTCCAGTTCTTTTTCCTCTGCCTTTTCCAATTCTTCTATTTCCAATTCGTTTTCTATTTATTTTCCCAATTCCAATTATTTTGTCTTTTCCTCACCTTTTTCCTGTCCTCATTGTATTTCAAATTCTTTTTTCTATTTCTAATAATGTTCCTTTTAATAATTCTAGCTATTTCTTTTTCTTTCTTTTTCTACATCTTTCTTTTCTCCTTTCCTTTTCCTTTTTTTCATTTTTATTCCCTTTTTTTGTTTCCGTTTTCCTTTTTTTTTTTTTTTTCCATTTTACTTTTCCTTTTTTCTTTTCATTTTCATCTTCTGTGAACCTGAAGTGCTCAGGCAATGAGAAACCAGGGGAGGAGAAGATAAGAGTTGGATAATAGATCATAAGCGATGTCCCACTGATTCAGATTTCAGTGTTCCTGAAGAAAATACTACCAGTCTACAAGAGCCTTATCCAGCTGGGCTGCATTGCCAGATAACAAACCTGAATAAACCAAAGGACGCACGATGTTGTGGGTTTTCACTTGGGTTCCTTGTACTGTCCATGCGGATTCACAGTATTTTTGTACAGGCTTGTGGATCTTCACTGGGCTTTGCAGAAGTCCACCCTGGTTCACTGAAGACTTTGCAGGATCACTGGTCTTCACTGAGATTCCATGAAGTTCACGTGGTTTTGTAAGATTTTGCACAGCTTTGCTTCTGTTCACACTGGTTTCCCATATCTCCGCTTTGGTTCAGTCAAGTCTGCACAATTTTGCTGGCCTTTGCTGCGTTAAAGTTTCACTCCTTTACTTAGTCCCTGACAGTTTGCAGGTGGTATCTCAAATTCTCAGTCATCTAGTGCTGCTGCCACTTCCCCCACCTTTCCGGAGTATGAGCTTGCAATTAAATATCATCTACACATGGATACACATCCTAAGGCAGTGAAACTCTGTCAAAGTTCACTGAGGTGGCTTGAGCAATAGTGGGAGAATGTGTACACCCCTGTGGGAGTCAGCTAAAGGTATATCATATCCTCTCCTGTGTGAAAGCAGACTTTTCTTTATCCTCTTCCTGCAAGGAAACTGTTGTCATGGTTCTATGTTTTCTGTTTGTTTGTTTTTATTTTGGGTTTCAGTATTCCACATCAAAACATCATGTCGTGTACGGGGTATTAAAGTGTTAATGCCCAATCCCAGGTACCTATCCCTGTACATTACAGAAGTCACGGGATCTGGCCCTTCCAGGTGGGGGGGGGCGCTCTCTTGCTGCCTGGCAGTGGGTGCTGGAGGTGCTTTCCTAGCCGTTACAAGCTTTTCAGGTTTGAATCGGTCCCAGGAACTCTCTCTCTCATCTTGTCTGATTTATTAATCTCAATTTCAATTAAATTGTATATACTGTGTTATCTCGTATTCCAATATTATAGTAAAATAGGTTTTCCTCCATAGATTGTTGCCGCTGCTTTTTTTTTCCTCCCTTCCTTCCTTCCCATTTTTTGTGGGACTGGGGTGGGGGGGGGGGAGGGCAGAGGCCTGTCGCCCCTGTCACGGACATAGATTGATCTAGTCAACTCCGTGACAACTGTAAAGAGCAACTGCCATCCAAATAAGCTCCAAAGCCCATTTCACGTCATACTCCAGACCCAAACCATCAATATTTCACAGCAAACTCCAGGTTCACGTCCTTGCTAATTCACCCCAAACTGAGTTCCCAAAACCTCATTATTTCATTCCAAATGTCAGCACCAACACTCCCTGATGTCACCCCCCAGGGATGCTCCAGCATCAATCCCCCAGCATTACTCCTTCACATCACCCCCTTTCATCCCAACATCACCCACCAGTGCCAACCCAACAATGTCACCCTGGAGTCACTTCCTGATGTCACCCCTCACCGTCACCACAATATCCACCCTCAGCATCACTCCAACATTGTCATTCCCCAGTGTCACCCCAACGCTCTCACCCCAGGATCAGTCATTCATGTTAAATCCTTGTGGTACTCCAACATCACTCCCAATGATGTCACCCTATCGTGCTACTCCCTGACATCTATCCTATTGATACCCCAACATCACTCCAACATAACCAGTGTCACTCTAAAATTTTAGATGATTCCATTAAGTGGGAAGCAGAATCTCCCTAAGCAAGTATGCTATTACTATCTGACCCTTGAGAGATGGCAAGCCACCGAAAAGGAGAGAGAAGGAACATGCCAGCAGTGGATTTGACCAGCATCACTAGCAGGGCATCCCCTGCTTCAAAGCACACTTCCACTCTTTCTCCCACTTTCATTCTCCCCAGGGTCTGTAGGGTTTGTTCCACTTGCATGCTGTACCCATATGGCCAGTGCGTGATACAGAGCTCTACAGTCAAAGAATTTTAAGATGCTATAATCACAAAATGAACAAGACAGTTAGGCAAAGCAGACTATGACAACAAAAGAGAATAAATAGAAGGCTTACCCCTATCCTGGGCTCACTCACAAAACTCCAGCAGAGCAGATCTCCAGCAAAGATCCTTCCCTCCTGGCAGCCAGCTCTTAAATAGCTCTAGGAGGGGGCAGCCAGGCTCCACCCCCTTCTGGCAGCACAGGTGAATTGAATTGCCTTCACCTGTGCTCCTCTGGCTGCCTCATGGCTCGCCTCAGGTGATCAATCAGAGGTTCAGGCCATGACTCAGCAGTTCCCATACAAGAGCCCAGCTGGAACATCAGCTTGCAAAACAAGTCTTCGCAAGAATTGCCTTCACCTGTGCTCCTCTGGCTGCCTCATGGCTCGCCTCAGGTGATCAATCAGAGGTTCAGGCCATGACTCAGCAGTTCCCATACAAGAGCCCAGCTGGAACATCAGCTTGCAAAACAAGTCTTCGCAAGAACAAGACCAAATACCAAGGACAGCTCTCTCTACAAAACATTTGCAGCCACAGCCACAAATATCAACTCCCTTAAAACTGCCAAAATACCTTATTCAATTCCAGGATCATTCTTCAGTCAGGGGCCGTTAGGTCCCCAATATAACACCCCAACAACGTCACCATCCAGCGTTCACTCCCTGATGTCACCCACCCTTCCTCCCCCAAAAGCCCCAACATAACCCATGCCACTAAAATGACACTTCAGAATCACTCTCCAGTGTCACCCCAATGTCACTCCCAGAGTCGTGCCAACAATGTCACCCCCCAGCATCACACTAAGTCACCCCAGTGTCTCCATCGAGTATCTCTCTCTTTCTGAATTCCCCCCCCTCCCCTACCCCCCACCCGCAATACCCCAGCATCACCCCCCAGCGTCACTCTCCAGGCTCAGTCCACAACTTCACCCCAGTGTCATCCCAGCATCACTCCATGGCATCACCCCAACTTGCTTGCCAAGTAAGCAAGGCTTGGGACAGCAGCTCTTAGCGGGGCTGTATAAGCTTTCAGACACCGACAATCGATTGTTAATCATCACCTTCCATCTGGTTTCCAAACCAGATGACAACGAGTTATGTGGGGAGTCTGTTCTGGAAACGATTTGTCTTTTCTCCAAACCTGCTATGAGTTCAGAAATCACACATCATGCTGCAGCAGAAATGGGGTACAGTGGTATGTTAGCGACCCCTGCTTCAGGGAGCACAGGGGCTGCGTAAAGTGCACACGCTGCAGTCTCCCTGTTTCTTTGGAGTCTGGGATTGAAACTTGACCCAAAAGGCCACACACTGCCATACAGGCAGGTGCCAGATTCACCCACTGATTATGTCAAATCCTGAATTGTTTTCACAATGGGCTTTAATTACAAAGAAAGTAGGCGACACGTTTCTCACTGGAGAGCCACAAGCTGTCCCCACTAGTTTGGCAAACAGCGCTCGCTCCGATCACACCGGTGATCTCAACTCTGCCATCGAGGCTGCACACACAGCTTTTCAGCATCTTGCTGTATCAGTACTGAAATTTGTGTGCTTTATCAGTACTGAAATTTGTGCTCCCCTATCTATCAGAAATTTTACTGAATGCTTTTGAGGACAGACTTCAATCAAAATATGCATGCCATTGTTGCTCATCCTTTGATCAAACTCCCCTTGCTGGACAGGCAGATCCAATCACCTGCTTGTAATTAGTCTTTTTTTGTTGTTGTTTACAGTCTGAAGCAGTGATTGAGCACCTGGTGAGGGGTGTGGCCAGCCCTGCCAGCACAGGTGGAAGCAATCTACCTGTGGGACCGGATAGGGCTGAGCTTGGCTCCACCCCCTCCCTGCCCATATTTAAGGGCTGGGAACAGCAAGGGCAGCATTCTGCTTGGGAGCTGCCTCCTTGGGATCATTGGAAGCAAGTTCTGCTCTTTGGAATTGGGGTGAGTGATTGATGCTTTGTTGCAGGGCTCTGGTCTTTCTGTTTTTGGGATCCTAACTGCTTTTAAAGGTAGAAAGCTGTACGGAGACTCTGCACGGAGACTGCTTCCTTTGGGGTGTGGGCTGAGTGTTTGCTTTTGGAATGGGGTCATTGGTTTCTTCTTTATTGCTGGATTGTAATTTTACTTTCTGGAGGGCTCCTGACCATGTTTAAGGTCTGTCAGCAGAAAGAGCGGCAACTGCACCTGGAGACTGCTTCCTTTAGAGCGTGGGGTGAACCCTTGAAACAGGGTGAGTGATTCTTTATTCCAGAGTTGCAATATCTTGTTTTTGGGAGGATCCTGACTCCACTTAGGGGCTGGTAGCCTTTAAGGTGGTATCCATCTTTAGAGACTGTCTTCTTGGGAGTGTGGGGTGAGGTCTGGTCCTTAAGAAAAGATGAGTGATTCCTTCTTATTTTAGGGCTGTGACCTTTCCCTTTTGGTTTTTGGGGCATCCTGACCACATCTAAGTGCTGACAGATGTATGGGCAATGTTGATCTCTGGAGACTGTCTCCTGTGGAGCATGAGTGAGTTTTGGCCTTTGAGAAGGGTGTAAGTGGTTTCTTCTTCATTTCAGGGCTGCAATCTTCCCTTGTGTGTTTTGTGTGTGTGTTTTGTTCTTTTTGTTTGTTTGTTTGTTTTTTTATAGTATCCTGACCACTTTTAAGGGGTGGAAGCCATAAGGGTAGCATCTGTACCTGGAGACTACTTCCTTGGCAGTGTGGGCTGAGTGTTCATCTTTGGAATGGAGTAACTTCTTCTTCTTCCTTTATTTCAGGGCTGTTATGCACTGCTTCCAACCGTGCAGAGTTGTTTAAGGGCATTCTGTGCACCCTTAGGTGTAATAAGTCTTCATCTTTATAGGAAGCCAAGGTTTGTCCTCTTCTGGACCGCTGTACTCAGCATCACCCCAGATATCTCCATCCTAATTGTCTGGAGATGCTGTCAGTTTCCTAATCTGTACGGCACCCAAACCCCAATTCTTCTTCCTCCCACCCCCTGACCTGCATTCAATGCTCTGCAGCTCTGGTTCCCAACAGCGTGATGAAGTGAAGCCCCTGCTCTGCTGAATACTGGGACTGGCCCAGAGAGGCTCTGACGGATGTGGATTATCCCAGCTGGAGTACTTGGTACCATTGGTGGTGATCTCGTCCAACTGCCACACAACGAACAGGAACATCCACAGCCAGATCAGTGCCCAGAGCCTGACCCAGCCTCACCTTGGAAGGGACAGGGCATCCATCATGTCTGGGTAATCTGTTCTGCTGTGTCACCACCATCACTGTACAGGATTTTCTTCATATCTAGGCTAAATCTTTCCTTGTTCTTCCCTTCAGGTGTTGAAAGGCTGTTACCAGATCACCTCGGAGCCTTCACTTCTGCAGGCTGAGCAGCTCCAGCTCTCTTTCTTCATAGGAAAGGCGTTCCATCCCTCGGTTCATATCTGTGGCCATTCTCTGGATGTGCTCCAACAGCTCCACGTCTGTCCTGCACTGCAGGCATCCACATCCACACACAGCACCTCCAGGTGAGGCCTCCCAGCACAGAGCAGAGGGGCAGGACCACCTCCCTTCGCCTGCTGACCGCACATCTTTGGATGGAGCCCAGCATACGGTTGGCTTTCTGGGCTGGAAGGCGCGTTGCTGAGTGCCACTACTCAGCCTGTTGAGGTCCCTCTGGATGGCATCCCGTCCCTCTGGTGTGTCACCGCACCCCACAGCTCGGTGTCATTAGGGTGCACTCCACCCTACTGTCAATGTCACTGATGAAGGGGCAATCCCAGATGTTTGTGCAAACTCAGCAAAGAACACCTTGAGAGCAGCCCCACAGAGAAGGATCCTGGTGGGTGAGAAGCTGGACGTCAGCCAGCAGAGCGGGCTTGCAGCCTGGAAGGCCAGCTGTGTTCTGGGCTGCATTAAAAGAGGAGCGGCCAGCAGGGAGAGGGAGGTGATCGTCCCCATCTGCTCTGCTCTTGTGAGGCCCCATCTGCAGCGCTGCATCCAGGCCTGGGGCCCCCAGCACAGGAAGGACGTGGAGCTCACGGAGCGGGTCCAGAGGAGGCACTGAGATGATCAGATGGTTGGAGCAGCTCTCCTACAAGGAAAGGTTGAGGGAAGTGGGCTTGTTCAGCCTGGAGAAGAGAAGGCTTGGGGGGGACCTCATTGCAGCCTCACAGTACTTGAAGGGGGGAACAGCAGGAAGGGGAATGGCTGTTTACAAGGGTGGATCGTGATAGGACAAGGGGAATGGTTTTAAGCTGAGACAGGGGAGGTTTAGGTTGGTTATTAGGAGGAAGCTTTTCACACAGAGGGTGGTGACGCACTGGAACGTGCTTCAGAGTCCCTTCCAGGAGGATCTGCTCCATGACTTTTTGCAGCACAGAGGTGAGACTGACATGTTGGCAGTTCCCAGGGTCACACTTTATATCTGCAGTAACAGCTGTGCTGTCACCTTTTTTCTGCTCACCAGGGACTTCACCTGACTGCCTCGACTTCTCAAATACCACTGAGAGTGGCTCGGTGACTGCAGCACTGAATTCCCTCAGAGCTCTGGGACTCGTCTCATCAGGACCCAAAGACTCCTGGATGCTCGGGTCCTCAGGTGCTCCAGAACCTGATCTCCCATCACAGTGTGGGATAGGGAGGGGTCTGTGGGACCGGCATTGCTTCCTGAATCCCCACCTACCAAACCAAAGGTGAGGGCGGTGTATAATGAGCAGTTATCAGAGAAGATGGAAGATGGATGTTGTTGGGTACCTCAGCCTTCTCCTTGTCTGTTGTTCCCAGCTCAGTGCTTGCCGGTAAGCAGAATCGTGCGCAGAGCGCAGCCACGTTGATCAGAGAAAGGAGTGCAGGTTTGTGAAAGAGGCACATCTGCAGGGCAGTGCCTTCATTACTGCTTTGTGTCCCACAGGTGGCAGCAGGCTGCGGCGCTCCTGAGTGCCATAAGGACTGCATGGAGATGCGTGGCTCTTATGGGAGCAGCAAGGAACCGGAATCTGCATTTCCTGGAATGCCTGGAACCCTGCTTTGCTGGCTGGTAATTGTCTGCCCAGCAGGTAAGGGCAATGCACACCCACCAGTGTTTACCCATTCCCTAGCATGGCACAGCACGGTGCTCCCACAGCTCTTCATTGCACTTCGTGGTGCCCTGGATGCTGCCTGTCCTTTTCTTTCTGTGTTCTCCTTGTCTCCGGCCTTTCACTGCAGCGTTTTCATTCCCTTTGCCCTTGCTGTTCCCTACTCCATTCTCTTGCCCTCCTGTTTTTGTGTTCCATGCCACGTTCTCTTGGCCGCTGCCCTTGCCTTTCTTTGCCGCGTTCACTTCAGCATTCAGTTTTGGCGTTCCGTGCCGCGTTCTCTCGCCCTCCTGTTCTGGCATTTCCTTCCATGTTCTCTTAGCCGTTGCCATTGGTTGGGCATCCTCTTGTCCTCCTGTTTTTGTGTTCCATGCTGGTTTCTCTCGGCCGTTGCCCTTGGCTTTCTTTGCCATATTCACTTCAGCATTCAGTTTTGGCGTTCCCTGCTGCGTTCTCCTGCCCTCCTGTTTTGGCGTTTCTTGCCGTGTTCTCTTGGCCATCATCCTTGGCATTTCCTTCCACGTTCTCTTGGCCCTTGCCCTTGTCTGGGCATTCCCTTGCCCCCCTGTTATTGTGTCCCATGCTATGTTCTCTTGGCCATTGCCCTTGGCTTTCTGTAGCCACATTCTCTTCACCATTTGATTTTGGCGTTCCCGGCAGCGTTCTCTTGCCCTCCTGTTCTGGCACTTCCTGCCATGTTTTCTTAGCCCTTTCCTGGGCATTCCATGCCGTGCTCCCTCGGCCTTCTGTTTTGGCATTTTGTGCTGCGTTCTTTTGGCCGTTGCCCTTGGCCTTTCCTGCTGCGGTCTCTTTGCCCTCCCCTTGGCTTTCCATCGGTGCTCTCTTTGCTTTTGCCCTTGCCTTAGCTTGGCTGTTTGCTTTGCATTTACCTTGGCTTTCCACGGGAGTTCTGCTTTCCTTTGCCTGCCCTGGGTGTCCTGCTTCCCTTTGCCTTTAGCACTCTAGCGTGAGCTGGGAGGCAGCATTAATGTTACCCTCGACCTAAACCCACAGCTGAATGGGAGTTCTAACGATAACTTTGTTAACCTGCAGCGTATCTGTAGACCAAACCCTTAACCCAGTGTTGAAAATGTCTCTTACCCTGAATGCTGCCGTAAAAATAATGCCCCATGTTTTGTCAAATAACCCTAATTGTAGTGCAGAATACTGATGTTAGACCATCTGTAACTTCAACCCTATCAATACCATTAATTCTATCCCTAACGTTAATTATAATTAATTACAACCCTTGTGTCATCATTACAGCATTGTGCTCAGGGTGCAGCCCCACACATGCGGGGCAGCGCCTTCATTACTGCGTTGTGTCCCACAGGTGGCAGCAGAGTTGCGTTGCTCCTGAGCGCTGTAAGGACAGCACGGAGATGCGCGGCTCTTCAGGCAGCAGCAAGGAACCGGAATCTGCATTTCCTGGGATGCCCGGAACCCCGCTTTGCTGGCCGGTAATTGTCTGCCCAGCAGGTAAGGGCGATGCTCACCCACCGGTGTTTACTCATTACTTAGCGAGGCACAAGGTAGGGTTCACAGAGCTCATTTCTGCACTTCACGGTGCCCTGGATGCTGCCTGTCCTTTTCTTTCTGTGTTCTCCTCGCCTCCAGCCTTTCACTGCAGCGTTCTCCTTGCTCTTGGCTTTCCCTGCTGCGTTCTCTTGCCCTCCTGTTTTGGCGTTCCCTGTGGCATTCTCTTGGCCGTTTGCCCTTGCCCACCTTCACTGTGTTTTCTTTGGCCTTCGGCTTTGGCCATCTGTGCCACATTCCCTTGGCCTTTGTCCTTGGCCTTCTTTGCCACGTTCACTTTCCCTCCCGTTCTGGCGTTCCCTACAGCATTATTTTGGCCTTCAGTTCTGGCGTTCGTGGCTGCGTTCTCTTTGGCCGTTGCCCTCGGCCTTCTTTGCCCCATTTCCTTTGGCCTCCTGTTCTGGCGTTCCCTGCGGCGTTCTCTTTGGCTTCTATTTTGGCGTTCCCTTCCATGTTCTTTTTGGCCATTGCTCCTGGCCTTCTTTGCCCATTCCCTTTGGCCTCTTGTTTTGTCTTCTCCTACAGCATTCTCTTTGCCTTTGGTTTTGGCCTTTTGTGCCGCATTCTCTTTGGCCATTGCCCTTGACCTTCTGCATCGGCCTTCCCTGCAGCGTTCTCACGGACCTCGCCCTCCATTTTGGCCTTCTGCGTCGATCTCTTTGGTCTCCATTCTGGCGTTCTCTGCGGCCTTCTTCTTGGGCCTGACCTCTGACGCGACCTTTGGCGTTCTCCATGTCTTTCCCATCCCTTTGCCCTCTGTTTTGGCGTTCCCTCGGCTGTTCTCCTTGCCTTTTGCTCCTGCCTTTGCCTTGGCCTTCCCTAACGGTCACTCTAACCCTAATCCTGATGTACCTAACCCTAACACCTTTCCTGTTAAATACTCCTAACCTTACTCTGAAGCCTTTTCTTAGAGCGGTGTTTGGCTTCCACATTTTGTGGGGGTGGGCTGACGGTGAGCACCGTTTGGGTCTCGGCGTTCCTCCTTCTAAAGCGTGTCTCTGTATTACAGGTGAAGATGCCTTCGACGCTTCCAGTCGATGACTTCCCCCCTGCGACGCCATTGGCTTTCCAGGCCTCCCACACTCACCGCCAGCTCGGTTCGGTCAACCGTTACCCGAATCCCCGCTCCGTTCCCTTTCCATGATCTTCCCGTCACTCTGCCACAAGCCCCTACCAAGGTCATCGCAGGCAGCGTGTGGGATGCGGCGCTCGGTCTCATTGCAGTTCATCCCATCGGCCTCAGCCCAGCGATCCAACCCACCCGCACCCTTCCTGAGGGCCCTTCTGCTCCCAGGCCAATCAACGCTTCCTTCTCATGCCATCTGCGTTCCTTCCAGGCCATTTTCAGACTCCTGCCCCTTTGTGGCCATTTTGAGAGTTGTGCTGATTTCAGCATGTGCATTCAATTGACTTCAACCAAATTGGCTTTAGCTTTACATTCAATTGACTTCAACCAAATTGGCTTTAGCCTTGCATTCAATTGACTTCAACCAAATTGGCTTTAGTTTTACATTCAATTGGCTTCAACCAAATTGGCTTTGGCTTTACATTCAATTAATATAAGCCAAATTGGCTTTAGCTTTGCCTTGGTTACGGGGTTGGGCTAGCCTTGCTTTGTTTGCTCCTAGGCAGGGCTAACCCAACCCCGTAACCAAGGGCCGTCGGAGGCGATTTTGTTCCTTCCCGGCCAGTCTGAGACTCGCGCCCCATTGCGGCCATTTTGAGAGTTGTGCTGATTTCAGCATCTGCGTTCAATTTATCTCAACCAAATTGGCTTTAGCCTTGCAATCATTTTGCATCAACCAAATTGGCTTTAGCTTTACATGCAATTGACTTCAATCAAATTGGCTTTGGCTTTGCATTCAATTGGCTTCAACCAAATTGACTTTAGCTTTGCATTCAATTGACTTCAACCAAATTGGCTTTAGCCTTGCATTCAATTGGCTTCAACCAAATTGGCTTTAGCTTTACATTCGATTGACTTCATCCAAATTGGCTTTAGCTTTACGTTCAATTAATGTAAGCCATATTGGCTTTAGCTTTGCCTTGGTTACGGGGTTGGGCTAGCCTTGCTTTGTTTGTTCCTAGGCAGGGCTACCCCAACCCCGTAACCAAGGGCCGTCGGAGGCGATTTTGTTCCTTCCCGGCCAGTCTGAGACTCGCGCCCCATTGCGGCCATTTTGAGAGTTGTGCTGATTTCAGCATCTGCGTTCAATTTATCTCAACCAAATTGGCTTTAGCCTTGCAATCATTTTGCATCAACCAAATTGGCTTTAGCTTTACATGCAATTGACTTCAATCAAATTGGCTTTGGCTTTGCATTCAATTGACTTCAACCAAATTGACTTTAGCTTTGCATTCAATTGACTTCAACCAAATTGGCTTTAGCCTTGCATTCAATTGGCTTCAACCAAATTGGCTTTAGCTTTACATTCGATTGACTTCATCCAAATTGGCTTTAGCTTTACATTCAATTAATGTAAGCCAAATTGGCTTTAGCTTTGCCTTGGTTACGGGGTTGGGCTAGCCTTGCTTTGTTTGTTCCTAGGCAGGGCTAACCCAACCCCGTAACCAAGGGCCGTCGGAGGCGATTTTGTTCCTCCCGGCCAGTCTGAGACTCGCGCCCCATTGCGGCCATTTTGAGAGTTGCTCTGATTTCAGCATCTGCGTTCAATTTATCTCAACCAAATTGGCTTTAGCCTTGCAATCATTTTGCATCAACCAAATTGGCTTTGGCTTTGCTTTCAATTGACTTCAACCAAATTGGCTTTAGCCTTGCATTCAATTGGCTTCAACCAAATGGCTTTAGCTTTACATTCAATTAATGTAAACCAAATTGGCTTTAGTTTTACATTCAATTGACTTCAACCAAATTGGCTTTAGCTTTACATTCAATTAATGTAAACCAAATTGGCTTTAGCTTTGCCTTGGTTACGGGGTTGGGCTAGCCTTGCTTTGTTTGCTCCTAGGCAGGGCTAACCCAACCCCGTAACCAAGGGCCGTTGGAGGCGATTTTGTTCCTTCCCGGCCAGTCTGAGACTCGCGCCCCATTGCGGCCATTTTGAGAGTTGCTCTGATTTCAGCATGTGCGTTCAATTTATCTCAACCGAATTGGCTTTAGCATGTGCATTCAATTGGCTTCAACCAAATTGGCTTTAGCTTTACATTCAATTGACTTGAACCAAATTGGCTTTGGTTTTGCATTCAATTGGCTTCAACCAAATTGGGTTTAGCCTTGCATTCAATTGACTTCAACCAAATTGGCTTTAGCTTTACATTCAATTAATGTAAGCCATATTGGCTTTAGCTTTGCCTTGGTTACGGGGTTGGGCTAGCCTTGCTTTGTTTGCTCCTAGGCAGGGCTAACCCAACCCCGTAACCAAGGGCCGTCGGAGGCGATTTTGTTCCTTCCCGGCCAGTCTGAGACTCGCGCCCCTTTGTGGCCGTTCTGAGAATTGCAATGTGTTTGGGTGGGCTGAGATCTGCACTGCTTTTGAGGTGGGTTGCGGTATGCAACATTCTCACAAGTGTGGTGTCACTAATGGGGTGTGGAGGCTTTGTACCCTTTCTCTGGTTGGTCTGACATCTATGTGAACCATGTCTTAAAGTGTACTGCGTATGCGTGTGCTGCGCCTGTAAATTGCGTCGTGCCATGTATGCAATATGTGTTAAGTTGCGCCTGTAAACTGTGTTGTGCCATGTACAGAATGTGTGGATGCTGCGCCTATAAACTAAGTCTTGGAATCAGAGATCCATGTTCATTACATGTTTTGCTTCTCAATGTGTAGTTGCTGGTATAGCGCGTATGTATATGATTGTATGAGTCATGCCTTGTGGAAACAGTGCTGTAATAAACAAACAGTTAAACAATGCACGTATGTTGTGTGTCTTGCTTTGTCACGGCAACGACTGGAAGGACACTGGAAGGTAGGTGAGAAAGGTAGGTGTGGAGGGTGGTAGACTTAGACGGGGGTTAGACTTAGACATAGACACTGGGGGTTAGACTTAGACTTAGACACTAAGGGTTAGACTTAGACTTAGAAACTGGGGATTAGACTTAGACTTAGACACTAAGGCTTAGACTTAGACACTGGGGGTTAGACTTAGACACTGGGGGTTAGACTTAGACTTAGACACTAAGGCTTAGACTTAGACACTGGGGGTTAGACTTAGACACTGGGGATTAGACTTAGACTTAGACACTAAGGCTTAGACTTAGACACTGGGGGTTAGACTTAGACACTGGGGGTTAGACTTAGACTTAGACACTAAGGCTTAGACTTAGACACTGGGGGTTAGACTTAGACACTGGGGATTAGACTTAGACTTAGACACTAAGGGTTAGACTTAGACACTGGGGGTTAGACTTAGACACTGGGGATTAGACTTAGACTTAGACACTAAGGCTTAGACTTAGACACTGGGGGTTAGACTTAGACACTGGGGGTTAGACTTAGACTTAGACACTAAGGCTTAGACTTAGACACTGGGGGTTAGACTTAGACACTGGGGATTAGACTTAGACTTAGACACTAAGGCTTAGACTTAGACACTGGGGGTTAGACTTAGACACTGGGGATTAGACTTAGACTTAGACACTAAGGGTTAGACTTAGACACTGGGGGTTAGACTTAGACACTGGGGATTAGACTTAGACTTAGACACTAAGGGTTAGACTTAGACACTGGGGGTTAGACTTAGACACTGGGGATTAGACTTAGACTTAGACACTAAGGCTTAGACTTAGACACTGGGGGTTAGACTTAGACACTGGGGATTAGACTTAGACTTAGACACTAAGGCTTAGACTTAGACACTGGGGGTTAGACTTAGACACTGGGGATTAGACTTAGACTTAGACACTAAGGCTTAGACTTAGACACTGGGGGTTAGACTTAGACACTGGGGATTAGACTTAGACTTAGACACTAAGGGTTAGACTTAGACACTGGGGGTTAGACTTAGACACTGGGGATTAGACTTAGACACTGGGGATTAGACTTAGACTTAGACACTAAGGCTTAGACTTAGACACTGGGGGTTAGACTTAGACACTGGGGATTAGACTTAGACACTGGGGATTAGACTTAGACTTAGACACTAAGGCTTAGACTTAGACACTGGGGGTTAGACTTAGACACTGGGGATTAGACTTAGACTTAGACACTAAGGCTTAGACTTAGACACTGGGGGTTAGACTTAGACACTGGGGATTAGACTTAGACTTAGACTAAGGCTTAGACTTAGGGTTAGGGTTAGGGTTAGGGTTAGGGTTAGGGTTAGGGTTAGGGTTAGGGTTAGGGTTAGGGTTAGGGTTAGGGTTAGGGTTAGGGTTAGGGTTAGGGTTAGGGTTAGGGTTAGGGTTAGGGTTAGGGTTAGGGTTAGGGTTAGGGTTAGGGTTAGGGTTAGGGTTAGGGTTAGGGTTAGGGTTAGGGTTAGGGTTAGGGTTAGGGTTAGGGTTAGGGTTAGGGTTAGGGTTAGGGTTAGGGTTAGGGTTAGGGTTAGGGTTAGGGTTAGGGTTAGGGTTAGGGTTAGGGTTAGGGTTAGGGTTAGGGTTAGGGTTAGGGTTAGGGTTAGGGTTAGGGTTAGGGTTAGGGTTAGGGTTAGGGTTAGGGTTAGGGTTAGGGTTAGGGTTAGGGTTAGGGTTAGGGTTAGGGTTAGGGTTAGGGTTAGGGTTAGGGTTAGGGTTAGGGTTAGGGTTAGGGTTAGGGTTAGGGTTAGGGTTAGGGTTAGGGTTAGGGTTAGGGTTAGGGTTAGGGTTAGGGTTAGGGTTAGGGTTAGGGTTAGGGTTAGGGTTAGGGTTAGGGTTAGGGTTAGGGTTAGGGTTAGGGTTAGGGTTAGGGTTAGGGTTAGGGTTAGGGTTAGGGTTAGGGTTAGGGTTAGGGTTAGGGTTAGGGTTAGGGTTAGGGTTAGGGTTAGGGTTAGGGTTAGGGTTAGGGTTAGGGTTAGGGTTAGGGTTAGGGTTAGGGTTAGGGTTAGGGTTAGGGTTAGGGTTAGGGTTAGGGTTAGGGTTAGGGTTAGGGTTAGGGTTAGGGTTAGGGTTAGGGTTAGGGTTAGGGTTAGGGTTAGGGTTAGGGTTAGGGTTAGGGTTAGGGTTAGGGTTAGGGTTAGGGTTAGGGTTAGGGTTAGGGTTAGGGTTAGGGTTAGGGTTAGGGTTAGGGTTAGGGTTAGGGTTAGGGTTAGGGTTAGGGTTAGGGTTAGGGTTAGGGTTAGGGTTAGGGTTAGGGTTAGGGTTAGGGTTAGGGTTAGGGTTAGGGTTAGGGTTAGGGTTAGGGTTAGGGTTAGGGTTAGGGTTAGGGTTAGGGTTAGGGTTAGGGTTAGGGTTAGGGTTAGGGTTAGGGTTAGGGTTAGGGTTAGGGTTAGGGTTAGGGTTAGGGTTAGGGTTAGGGTTAGGGTTAGGGTTAGGGTTAGGGTTAGGGTTAGGGTTAGGGTTAGGGTTAGGGTTAGGGTTAGGGTTAGGGTTAGGGTTAGGGTTAGGGTTAGGGTTAGGGTTAGGGTTAGGGTTAGGGTTAGGGTTAGGGTTAGGGTTAGGGTTAGGGTTAGGGTTAGGGTTAGGGTTAGGGTTAGGGTTAGGGTTAGGGTTAGGGTTAGGGTTAGGGTTAGGGTTAGGGTTAGGGTTAGGGTTAGGGTTAGGGTTAGGGTTAGGGTTAGGGTTAGGGTTAGGGTTAGGGTTAGGGTTAGGGTTAGGGTTAGGGTTAGGGTTAGGGTTAGGGTTAGGGTTAGGGTTAGGGTTAGGGTTAGGGTTAGGGTTAGGGTTAGGGTTAGGGTTAGGGTTAGGGTTAGGGTTAGGGTTAGGGTTAGGGTTAGGGTTAGGGTTAGGGTTAGGGTTAGGGTTAGGGTTAGGGTTAGGGTTAGGGTTAGGGTTAGGGTTAGGGTTAGGGTTAGGGTTAGGGTTAGGGTTAGGGTTAGGGTTAGGGTTAGGGTTAGGGTTAGGGTTAGGGTTAGGGTTAGGGTTAGGGTTAGGGTTAGGGTTAGGGTTAGGGTTAGGGTTAGGGTTAGGGTTAGGGTTAGGGTTAGGGTTAGGGTTAGGGTTAGGGTTAGGGTTAGGGTTAGGGTTAGGGTTAGGGTTAGGGTTAGGGTTAGGGTTAGGGTTAGGGTTAGGGTTAGGGTTAGGGTTAGGGTTAGGGTTAGGGTTAGGGTTAGGGTTAGGGTTAGGGTTAGGGTTAGGGTTAGGGTTAGGGTTAGGGTTAGGGTTAGGGTTAGGGTTAGGGTTAGGGTTAGGGTTAGGGTTAGGGTTAGGGTTAGGGTTAGGGTTAGGGTTAGGGTTAGGGTTAGGGTTAGGGTTAGGGTTAGGGTTAGGGTTAGGGTTAGGGTTAGGGTTAGGGTTAGGGTTAGGGTTAGGGTTAGGGTTAGGGTTAGGGTTAGGGTTAGGGTTAGGGTTAGGGTTAGGGTTAGGGTTAGGGTTAGGGTTAGGGTTAGGGTTAGGGTTAGGGTTAGGGTTAGGGTTAGGGTTAGGGTTAGGGTTAGGGTTAGGGTTAGGGTTAGGGTTAGGGTTAGGGTTAGGGTTAGGGTTAGGGTTAGGGTTAGGGTTAGGGTTAGGGTTAGGGTTAGGGTTAGGGTTAGGGTTAGGGTTAGGGTTAGGGTTAGGGTTAGGGTTAGGGTTAGGGTTAGGGTTAGGGTTAGGGTTAGGGTTAGGGTTAGGGTTAGGGTTAGGGTTAGGGTTAGGGTTAGGGTTAGGGTTAGGGTTAGGGTTAGGGTTAGGGTTAGGGTTAGGGTTAGGGTTAGGGTTAGGGTTAGGGTTAGGGTTAGGGTTAGGGTTAGGGTTAGGGTTAGGGTTAGGGTTAGGGTTAGGGTTAGGGTTAGGGTTAGGGTTAGGGTTAGGGTTAGGGTTAGGGTTAGGGTTAGGGTTAGGGTTAGGGTTAGGGTTAGGGTTAGGGTTAGGGTTAGGGTTAGGGTTAGGGTTAGGGTTAGGGTTAGGGTTAGGGTTAGGGTTAGGGTTAGGGTTAGGGTTAGGGTTAGGGTTAGGGTTAGGGTTAGGGTTAGGGTTAGGGTTAGGGTTAGGGTTAGGGTTAGGGTTAGGGTTAGGGTTAGGGTTAGGGTTAGGGTTAGGGTTAGGGTTAGGGTTAGGGTTAGGGTTAGGGTTAGGGTTAGGGTTAGGGTTAGGGTTAGGGTTAGGGTTAGGGTTAGGGTTAGGGTTAGGGTTAGGGTTAGGGTTAGGGTTAGGGTTAGGGTTAGGGTTAGGGTTAGGGTTAGGGTTAGGGTTAGGGTTAGGGTTAGGGTTAGGGTTAGGGTTAGGGTTAGGGTTAGGGTTAGGGTTAGGGTTAGGGTTAGGGTTAGGGTTAGGGTTAGGGTTAGGGTTAGGGTTAGGGTTAGGGTTAGGGTTAGGGTTAGGGTTAGGGTT